CTCCCACCCCGAAGATGACCACTCTTTGGGTGCTGCTGCACATAGCCGCTCAGCGCGACTACGAGCTTCACTCTCTTGACTTCAGCACTGCTTTCTTGCAGGGCAGCCTGCACGAGGACATCTGGCTGCGCCGCCCACATGGCTTCACTGGGACTTTTCCTCCTGGCACCCAGTGGAGCCTCCGGCGGCCAGTCTACGGTCTTTGCCAGGCATCGCGTGAGTGGCACGACACACAAAGGACTACGCTTGCGGCTCTTGGGTTTGCTCCCTCTACTGCCGACCCGTCGCTGTTTCTACGCACCGATACTTCTTTGCCGCCGTTCTAAATCCTCGTGTACGTCGACGACTTGGTCTTTGCAACAGCTGGCACTGCTGGACTCACTCACGTGAAGTCCGAGCTGCAGAAGAGACACACGTGCATAGACCTGGGTGAACTGCGCAGCTACCTTGGCTTGCAGATCACCCGGGACAGAGCACGCCGCACCATTACCCTGACTCAGTCACACATGGTGCAGCAGCTCCTTCAGCGCTTCGGCTTCACGTACTCCTCGCCAAAGGCCACTCCTGTGCCTACTCGCCACTCGCTCTCAGCTCTGCCTTCGGATGAGTCCTTAGAGTCGAGTGGCCCGTACCTAGAGCTTGTTGGCTGCCTCATGTACCTGATGACCTGCACTCGACCTGACCTTGCATACCCTCTTAGCATTCTCGCACGTTGTGTTGCTCCTGGGAGACACAGACCGGAGCACATGGCTGCAGCAAAGAGGGTGTTGCGCTACTTGTGCAGTACGTCGGGCATGGGGCTAGTGCTTGGAGGGCGGAGTCCAGTGGTCCTTACTGGGCACACAGACGCTTCTTGGGCGGACGACCAGGCTACGCAGCGATCGTCACAGGGTTACACCTTCAGCCTTGGTTCCGGCTCTGTTTCATGGCGGGCTACCTGCTCGTCTTCTGTTTCGGCTCCAGTTGTGAGGCTGAGATCTACGCCGGGGCCATGGCTGCACAGGAGCTTCGCTGTCTCACCTACCTGCTGTCTGACTTTGGAGAGGTGCCTCGTTCTCCTCCAGTGCTGTACGTAGACAACAAGGCCATGCTGGCCTTGTGTCGAGAGCAGAGACTGGAGCACAGAACAAAGCACATTGCTCTTCGCTACTTCCTTGCTCGTGAGCTGCAGCAGCGTGGTCAGCTGCGTCTTGCGTACGTGGCCTCTGAGGCCAACACTGCTGATATCTTCACCAAGGCACTTGCGCCTTGTGATCATCAGCGCTTCTGTACTCAGCTTGGTCTTGTGCCTGTCTTGCCTCACTTGCTCACCTCTTGACCTTGCTTGTACTGTTACATATATTTACACCTGCTCTTGCTTGTCTAGCCTTTTATATATATATGTACTCCTGCATGTGAACTGGCCTTGTGGCCTAGACCTTGTGCTCGGAATGTGTGGTGACTTTGTGATCCACCCTGAGCTTGCTGTGCTTTGCTTGACTGGTCTTGTGACCCCTTGTTCTCCCCCACTTTGCTTATGGGGGTGTGTCAAATTGTAATGTTGTGTAGGCTGTAGTGGGGTAGCCTATATGGGGTACACAATGCTAGGGTTGCATACTTGTATCACTTTCATTCCTTAGTCATCCATTCTCGTTTCTTCTCAGTTATTTCGGAGGCTGGAGTTGAAATCGACCCTAAGAAGTTGGATACGGTAAAAGCGTGGCATCCCCCGACGAACATCACGGAGCTGCAGAGCTTTTTAGGGTTCGTTAATTATGTGCGTCGGTTCGTCCCCGATATGGCACGGTTAACTGCCCCACTGACAGATTTTCTGCGATAGGGGGTCACTTTTACGTGGGGGGAGAAAGAGCATGCTGCCTTCTCTGCCCTGAAAAATGTTCTCTGTTCACCGCCCGTCCTGCGCATCGCCGACCCACACCGCCCCTTCGAGGTTGTTACAGACGCAAGCGGCATCGCCATTGGAGCCGTACTGCTAAAGGACTTCGGCAATGGCCTACAGCCCATCGCATACGAGTCACGAAAATTGCATCCGCCCGAGCGAAATTACCCGATACACGACCGCGAAATGCTCGCGATCGTGCATGCGTTCAAAGTGTGGCGCTGCTACTTGACCGGCGCAGATGTGACAGTACGGACAGACCACCGATCACTACAGTACCTCCGCGCACAGCCCCACCTCAACCCACGACAGATTCGGTGGCTCGATTTCCTCTAGTCAAACTTCCACTACACAGTCACCTATAAAAAAGGAGCCTCGAACATCGCCGACGCACTGACCCGCCCCACTGCCCAGATCCACGCGATACTACTCGCCCAGACCAGCCCGCTACTGACAGGACTATTTACCCACGGATATCAAACGGACCCATTCTTCACAGGAGGAAATTCGCAGCAGTTCGCAGCAGCCAAGGGCGTCTATTACGTAAAAGCCGGGACCGAGCGCATCTGGGTACCAGTGTACACACTGCTATGGGAATTACTATTACAGGAGGCACATGACGGGGTTACCTCGGGACATTTCGGGGTAGAGAAAACACGGCAGCAGCTGCAGCGGTATTATTACTGGCCCGAAATGTTGACCGACGTGCAGCGACACGTGGCATCATGTCCCACTTGCCAGATCATGAAGTCAACACGGAAGCGGCCGGCGGGAGAGTTCCAGCCAATCCCACCTCCAGAGCGTGCTTGGCAGCAGGTGACGATAGACTTCGTCACGGGGTTACCGGCCGGGGTGAGTGGAAATGACGCGATCCTGGTCGTCGTCGATCGACTGACAAAAATGGCACACTTCGCAGCCTGCAAAAAATCGATCACAGCCGAAGAAACAGCCCGCCTCTTCATCTCTACCGTTGTTCGACTGCACGGGATACCAGCATCAATCGTCAGCGACAGAGACACGAAATTCACCAGCAACTTCTGGCGGAAACTGTGGCAGCAGTTCGGCACGCGACTACAGTTTAGTTCATCGTACCACCCCGAAATAGACGAACAGACAGAACGGACAAATCAGACCATGGAACAGCTCATCCGGGCCACGCGCGACGACCCAAACACGTGGGAACAGCAACTGCCACTCATCGAATTTGCATACAACAACGCCCCATCTGCCACGACCCAACAGTCACCGTTTTACCTGAATTACGGACAAGACCCAACAGTACCCATGACCTCGAATCCCGACAACACGGTTCCACGCGCGCAACAGTTCGCCGAAGTTTTGCAAGCAGCACGGACCAGGGCAGCAGACGCAATTAAAAAAGCTAACATCATCGCTAAACGCAACGCCGACCGCCACCGCAGACCTGTCACTTACCAGCCCGACGACTTAGTTTTGCTCGACACCCAAAATCTCCGACTGCCCATCACCCCGAAACTCCGCCCCCGATACTGCGGGCCATTTCGCATAAGCCACATGATTACACCTGTCACCGCCCACCTCCTCCTCCCTGGTGACTGGTACGTCAGCCCCTCGTTCCACGTCAGCCTGCTTCGCCCTTACGTCCCGTCCACGAACCAACTGCCACGCAATCCCCCAGCCAGCATGACAAGACCACCGACTGAACCAATCATCACCCCCGAGAAAATCCTGAGTCACAGAGTTCGCGACCCTCGAGGAGCCCGAAGGATCGAGTTCTTACTCTGCTGGAAGGACCGTACACCCACCCGAAGACAATTGGGTTCCCCTGGACAGAATCGAAAACCACCCCGTCCTCACCGAGTATCTGCGCAGCCGGAATTTCAGGGATGTACACGCACTTTCGTAAGGAGGACCTCCTTAAGGGGGGGGGGGGGGGGGGGGTAGTGTAAGGAAAATCTCTTTTTCCTTACTTCGCGTCCCTGCTCAACGTGTACATCACTGTAGCACCACAGTTAGCACCGTTACCACTCGCAATCCTCGCATCGACAATCCGCCCGCCACCTTCGCACGTCGCACCCCGACCTTACGGCTCGGCGGGTAACCCGCGCTCCGGGCCTCCGCTTCGACACTTTTCCCAACCTCAGTCCCAGGCCCGTCGCGCGACAACCACAGTCCATTACCGTTACCACTGTAGTTTCGCTATATATTCTTCGCTCATGCCTTCGCTCATTGTACTCTTGCTTCGATAGTGCAATTCTCGTTCGTTCACTCAATTGCACACGTAACACCGATCCATCCAACACCTCCTTCAATATTTTATCGACAATTATATCACTGTAAATTCTGGATGCATGCCAAAGCAACGGGAGGATGTTACACCGATCAGGCTGGTTTGTGTTTGTCATGCCCTATGTATCCACTCATTTTCACTTGCCCTAAACAAGTTTCCAGGAGCATACCATACGGAAACCAGGGTATGAGAGGAGCTCTATGCAGGTCATGTTAAAACCAAGATAAAGTAGTGAAGGCCGTCCCAGCTTGAAATCCCTGCGATGAGTTGGGTTGACACAACACTGTTCCAAACAAACTGAGTAGGCAGGTTGAACTCATCTGGTTGGCTCGAACAGATCTGAACATGACTCCTCCCGCCAAAACGATTTTCCAGGCCCATGTCAATTGTCGCATTTTTACACTCTGCACCCACACGACCGATGCCCAGCATGGTTTCCATCACCAGGTTCAACTTCCAATTCAAGTTGGGACTGGGTGAATGACTAGATGATTTCGAGTCCCGAAGTCACTAGTGTTTAGCGTAGCGTTAGTAGTAAAGCCGAACAAACACTGTCACTAACAAACCTTATTATCATACTGCACAATGGATGCCCTGTATATGCTAACCCGTGCATACAATGGGTTGGTATCTTGCAGCAGCATGTCTGTATGATCATCCCTGCGATTTTGTGGAATGGACAAGTTGTTATCCAATTCATGTACTACCATGGTATCACAAACAGTGCCAATTGAAGGCCCTCGCCTTCACAGCAGGTCTTGGTCCCCTCCCAAAACAAAGAGCAAGCGGGGCAAGGGGGAGGGGGTGGGGACCTTCCTGGGACATCCGCTGGTGACAAAAGTTGATAATGGTTTAAATGAGTGCTTGCATGCCCATCTGCTGCATCTCTCTCAAGCGCCACTTGGGCTCACTGGGATCTTCTGCAAGATCCTCCAATGATGCCTGCTGCATGGCCCACGCATGGAACATGGTCATTATGTTGTCCTGTTGCCACACACATGCGCACACACAAATGCACAAACATACATGTATGGACATACAGTCATTCATTAGGCAAAACATGACAGTGATGGCATGGTGAAAGGTACGGTAATCGCGTAGATGCTTCAAATGGACGTTCAAGAATCAGGGGAAGAGGTTGCAGACATGAAAGAACTCACCTTGCCCCCTTCGTGCACCTTCCCCTGTTTGTCCATTAAGCAGAAGATCTGTTGTGATGTAAACTGCAGTCACAGGAACATTCCACGCACACCACACCACATGTGCACACACACGCATACGAACATGTGTAGCATGTTGACCAACAGGCCACAAGATCATCGACATGAATGCACATGAGTCGAGTATTGAGATGCACATGTTGAACAGTGTGGTCTGAACATGCTAAAATAGCATGGATTAAACAGTTAACAGGGCAAACTGCTCACGTGCTTGAAAGAGTGTGAAGAGGACAATATACGACAGAGACGGATGGGAGACGAAGAAAGAAATGGAAAGAGCAGGTTACTATCGAATATGGGCAGTGAGACAGAAAGGGGAGCACGAGGGTTTGGGCCTCGAAAACAGGAATGGGCTGAACTGAGGCATTTTGAGACAGTAAGATGGGCAAATGATTATGAATAGACACATAAAAAGAACCACATGCAAACAGAGGAGCAAGGAGCAAAGAGGAGGAGCGAGGAGAGAGGAGAGAGGATGGGGGAGCGAGGAGAGAGGATGGGGGAGCGAGGAGCAAGGAGAGAGGATGGAGGTGAGAGAATCGAGGAGGGAGGAATGTGAAAGAAGGTGCGGAGAGTGACAAGGAGGCAAGAGCGTGTGGGAGTGAGGGAGCTGACATGGAGGATAATGACGGGGTCGTTGCCCACCAGCTTCACCTCCCGCACCTCCACATCTGAGTGGTGCAGGATCTGCAGAGAGAGAGAGAGAGAGAGAGAGAGAGAGAGAGAGAGAGAGAGAGAGAGAGAGAGAGAGAGAGAGAGAGAGAGAGAGAGAGAGAGCGAGAGAGAGAGAGCGAGAGAGAGAGAGAGAGAGAGAGAGAGAGAGAGCGAGAGAGAGAGAGAGAGAGAGAGAGAGCGAGAGAGAGAGAGAGAGAGGGGTGAGGGAGGAGCAAAACACACCTGCATCTCCACGTCTGAGTGGTGCAGATGCTTCTCCTACCCACTATCCTTGACCATGCACCATCCTCTCCCAGCCCATTCCCCCAACAATCCTCTCCCTGAAAATGCAATTACTCCTCTCATTTGCTGCTAAGCCATCCCCAAGCCTTTCCCTCTGCTCCTCAAACTCTTCCTCCCTTATCTTCCCCATCCCAACCGACCCACATTCATCATCCCAACCGCGTTCATCCTCCACCTCTGTGCATCCTCCACCTCTGTGCATCCTCCACCTCTGTGCATCCTCCAACCCCTCTACCCCTCCATCCATCTCACCCCCCGCAACTCTGCCCCCCTAACCTCTTCTCCCCATCCGCACTGTCCATACGCTCCTCTACCCCTCCCTCCCTCCCTCCCCATGCATCTGACCCAGTGGTGCGCGTGCAGGCCCTGTGTGAGCATGCCTTCTCTGAGTCGACTGAAAGATAAACAAATCGCCCTTCAGCCTCTCTACCCCCTCCCCCAACACATGCATCTGTCCCCATGCAGCAGGCCCCGTGTCCCTCTGCCCACCTCGCCCCACTACACCTCTTCCCCCTTTCCACCCCATTCCATTCGCCCCCTCTGCCCCACCGCCCCTGTGCCCCTCTTCCCACCCTGTGCAACTGAACCAGTGGTGGGCGTGCAGACCCTATGCAAGCATGGCTTCTTTCAACCAACTAAAAAAAAAAAAAAGCCCCTTCTGTTTCTCTCCTCCTCCTTTCTCTCTTCCCCCCCCCCCCCCCCCCCCCCCCCCCCCCCCTCTGTGCCACTGACCCGGTGGTGGGCGTGCAGGCCCTGTGCGAGCATGGCAGAGCGCTCAGCCCGGCAGCGCTCCACCACCTCCTTGCGACACCGCGCCTTGAGTGCTGCTAGGTCGCCCTGCGGGTGGGGGGTGGCACACGCACGCACACATGCACGCAGGTGAGCAGAACTTTTGAGGCGCCTCAAAAGAGCGCTCAGCCCGGCACCGCTCCACCACCTCCTTGCGACACCGCGCCTTGAGCGCTGCTAGGAAGCCCTGCAGGTGGCACACGCACACATGCACGCACGCACGCAGGTGGGCAGGCGGACAAGTGGGTGGGAGAGATGGTGGGTGGGCAAGGGCATGTGCAAGAGGGACATGGGGACAACATGGCCTGAGTATAGAAGTTTTTGGAGGCAGAAAAATGGGGAGAGATGAGGAGCAGGAAAAAGGATGGGGAAGGATACGGAAGGATGGGGAAGGATGGGGAAGGATGGGGAAGGATGGTGAAGGATGGGGAAGTATTATGGAGACGGAACGGCATGGAAGTGAGTGCTTACATGCATGTAGGCGTTGAGCACAGGCAGCACGTCCTCCTGTACCTCGTGAATGAAGTCCGGGAGAGAGAAGTCGCTGGTGCAGCATGGGGAAGCGGGGGTGTGTGCAATGATGGTTGGGGTTGGTGGGGTAAGCAACAATGGTTGGTCACTGTTGAGGATTTGCAAAGGCACAGGCGGCACGTCCTCCTGTACCTCGTGAATGAAGTCCGGGAGAGAGAAGTCGCTGGTGCTGCATGGGAAGCGGGGGTGAGCGCAGAGATGGGTTGAGAAGGATCGTGGGGGACGGCAGCATGGGTGGACGGGAGCAGCATGGGTGGACGGGAGCAGCATGGGTGGACGGGAGCAGCATGGGTGGACGGGAGCAGCATGGGTGGACGGGAGCAGCATGGGGTGGGGATGAAGGGAGGAGGTGGGGGGGATGGTAGATGTGACGAAGTGTGTGGATGCGGAGAGGCTCTGTGCGCAAGGAATGAGAGCTATACCAGAGAGGTGAGCACAAGGAAGGGGGCACAGAGGTGGCAGGAGCATAAGAAGGCATGGAGAGGGATGGAGTGGAGTGGAGCGGAGTGGGAGTGAATGCAGGATACCCCTGGCATGCTATGTTATGGGCATGGAACCATTCAGCATGGCATGGCATCTCCATTGCAAGATATGCTAGTTTAACGCATGGTACGGGCATGCGCAAGCATGGCATGGCATGGCAGGGCAGGGCAGGGCAGGGCAGGGCAGGGCAGGGCAGGGCAGGGCAGGGCAGGGCAGGGCAGGGCAGGGCAGGGCAGGGCAGGGCAGCGTACGGGTCTCTGCGCCTGATTTCCTTCACAGCCATGGCTGTGGCTGTCTCCCCAAAGATGGAATCGTTCAAACTGCATCGCACCACATGGCATGACATGGCACGTCGCGGCATAAAACGAAAAGGACAGATCAAGGAAGGTGGATCAGGAATGCCTTTCACGAGAAGAAGCAGACAGGGACAAACGGAGGAGCAATGCAGAAAGGGGTAGAAAGAAACACCCAAGCAGAAAGGGGTACTGCAGTGCTGTATGCATCCCGCCCCTAATGCAGTCTCTCTCCCCTGTTTCCCTCGCTAGTAACCTCCCCTCCACTTTCCCCCCTCCTCACCCCCCCCTTACTCACTCTTGAATGCGGTGCACGACAGGGCTGTCACTCGTCTCCCACCGGTCCTTCATGTCATCCACCACCTGCTCGTGCATGCACACACACACAGGTCACACACACACAGGTCACACACACACAGGACACACACACAGGTCACACACACACAGGTCACACACACACAGGTCACACACACACAGACAGGTCACACACACACAGGTCACACACACACAGGTCACACACACACAGGTCACACACACACAGGTCACACACACACAGGTCACACACACACAGGTCACACACACACAGGTCACACACACACAGGTCACACACACACAGGTCACACACACACAGGTCACACACACACAGGTCACACACACACAGGTCACACACACACAGGTCACACACACACAGGTCACACACACACAGGTCACACACACACAGGTCACACACACACAGGTCACACACACACAGGTCACACACACACAGGTCACACACACACAGGTCACACACACACAGGTCACACACACACAGGTCACACACACACAGGTCACACACACACAGGTCACACACACACAGGTCACACACACACAGGTCACACACACACAGGTCACACACACACAGGTCACACACACACAGGTCACACACACACAGGTCACACACACACAGGTCACACACACACAGGTCACACACACACAGGTCACACACACACAGGTCACACACACACAGGTCACACACACACAGGTCACACACACACAGGTCACACACACACAGGTCACACACACACAGGTCACACACACACAGGTCACACACACACAGGTCACACACACACAGGTCACACACACACAGGTCACACACACACAGGTCACACACACACAGGTCACACACACACAGGTCACACACACACAGGTCACACACACACAGGTCACACACACACAGGTCACACACACAGGTCACACACACACAGGTCACACACACACAGGTCACACACACACAGGTCACACACACACAGGTCACACACACACAGGTCACACACACACAGGTCACACACACACAGGTCACACACACACAGGTCACACACACACAGGTCACACACACACAGGTCACACACACACAGGTCACACACACACAGGTCACACACACACAGGTCACACACACACAGGTCACACACACACAGGTCACACACACACAGGTCACACACACACAGGTCACACACACACAGGTCACACACACACAGGTCACACACACACAGGTCACACACACACAGGTCACACACACACAGGTCACACACACACAGGTCACACACACACAGGTCACACACACACAGGTCACACACACACAGGGCACACACACACAGGTCACACACACACAGGTCACACACACACAGGTCACACACACACAGGTCACACACACACAGGTCACACACACACAGGTCACACACACACAGGTCACACACACACAGGTCACACACACACAGGTCACACACACACAGGTCACACACACACAGGTCACACACACACAGGTCACACACACACAGGTCACACACACACAGGTCACACACACACAGGTCACACACACACAGGTCACACACACACAGGTCACACACACACAGGTCACACACACACAGGTCACACACACACAGGTCACACACACACAGGTCACACACACACAGGTCACACACACACAGGCGCACAAGCACACATACACATGGGGGGAGGGAGAGGCGGGAGGAGAGCGGAGCGTGAAGGCGCGAGAGGGTGTGCGGCGAGGCGAGTGTGAGCCGACGGCAGACTCGCCGGATGAAGGGTGGCAAAGGCAGAAAGAGGGTTTTTGTGTCGACCAGAAAAAGAGCCTCGTCACAGTGTAAAAAGATAGTAACGGCACAAGGATGACTGCGTACACGTGTGTACCGCTCATTGATGCAAAGGACCAGCAGAGAGCGACGGGTGCAGGGAAGATCAATGAAGCGAAAGCGGGGGAAGGAGAGAAGGGGAAGGAGGGGCACGCGGGTTGTATGAGAGAGAGAGAGTGAGAGTAAGAGTGGGGGGGCTGACCTCCTTGCTCTTGGTGACGATGGGGTGGTGCTGCACGCCGTATACCCGCTGCACCACCCAGTGGCCCCTCACCTGATGATGAGGGGAGCCACCAAACACGAGCATGACCATGCACATGCACACACACATGCACATACACACGCACATGCACACGCTCATGCACACGCACATGCACATGCAAACACACATGCACACGCACACGCACATGCACACGCAAATGCACACGCACATGCACATGCACATCCGCACGCACACGCACACGCACATGCAAACACACATGCACATGCACACGCACATGCACACGCAAACGCACACGCACATGCACATGCACATCCGCACGCACACGCACACGCACATGCACACGCACATGCACATGCAGATGCAGATGCACATACACATGCAAATGACCATGACCATGCACATACACATGCAAATGACCATGACCATGCATATACACATGCAAATGACCATGACCATACACATGCACATGCACCCAAGCATGCCATACCGATGCCATATTTAGCAGCAGACAAGCCCGTGTAAGGAAAGAAAGACGTTGCACACAGACCTGGTCCATGGAATTTCCCACAGATCATTACACTCAAAGTAATGAGCTGTACGAGGTGTATATTTGAAGCCGCTGTGTTCATTTATGGTACATAACAGTTTGTTCGCCCATCAAACGGTGAGTGTGGATAGTGCTATGGGAACATGCATCAGCATGTCCCTTACAGTCACACAACCAGCCAACACACAACTTTACACCCTTCCTTCCCCCTACCTTCTGTAGCTCCTTCACCCTTCCACCCCTCTCCTCTCCCCCTCCCCTCTGCCCTCTCTTTCTCCCCTCTCCCCATCTCCCACCTCCCCATCACCCTCCCACTCTATTCCCTTCCCCTTCCCCCTGTCCCCCCTACTTCCCCCCGCCGCCCCTCCCCCTCCCCTCGCACCTTATTCAGCACACTCTCAATGCGCGCTCGCCACCACGGCACCTTCCTCTTCACCACCGTCAGATCCACGCGATCTGACGGCTCAAACGCCTTGGCGGCGGCCGCCATGGCCTCTGCTTCCGCCTTGCGCTTGGCGGCCAGGCGTTTGGCGGGCGGCGTGGTGAGCTCCTCGCGCAGAAATAGCACCGCCTGCATATGGGGGGGGGGGGAGGGAGGAGGGCGCGGGGTGGTAGGGGGTTTGGGGGGAAGGGGGAGAGAAGGCTTTTAAAGCGCCTCAAAAAGCGCACAAACTGTACCGCCTGGTGCTTGGTGGGTGGGGTAGTGAGCTCCTCGCGCACAAACTGCACCGCCGGTGGAGGCGGAAGGGGGGCGGAGAAAGAGTCGTCTGGGGAGAAAGAAGGGGGAACGGGGGAGGCGACGGGAGGGGAAGAGAAGGGGAAGCCGGGCGGGAGAGGGGGAGTTGAGGGCGAAGAGAGGGGGTTTTAAAAGAGAGATGGTTGAGTGGTGGGAGTTGGGGGTGTGTGGGTGGGGATGAATCACTAGGGCACACGGGGAAGGAGGAAGGCGCGGTGGGGAGAGGGAGGCGAACGGAGGGTGTTGGTGTTGACAAACGATGGGATGAACGGAGGCGGGAAGAGGACGTGATCGGGATTATGAAGAAAAGGGGAAGCATAACGCATGGCAAGCTGCGAGACACCCCAGAGAGACGGGGTTTCGGGTTTCAGCTTTACTAGTGAGGGGATTTCGTTTTGCAAGGGTTTGGCATTGGACGTGTTTACTGTTGAATGAGCTTAGCATTGGAAGGGTTTAATACCGGAGGGGTTTAGGAGGGTTTAGCTCGAACGGGTTTCGAAATGTGCTTGAATGGGAGTTTCAGGGATCATAGGATTAGCGGCCCTGCAAACACTCATGGGCGCCGGCAAACGGCGAAGGCAGGTTCGATGCTTCGTCTGATCCATTGGATACGGCAGAGCTGATTTTCCACTTTTTTTGGTTCAGCCTTGTACACTTCTCTGCCCTCTCACACTCTCCCGCTCGCCCTCCATTTCCCCAGTCACACTCGCCGACCCGCAATCCCTCATCCCCCCATCCGCACTTTCCATCCGCACTCCCCCATCCGTATTCTCGCTCCTCACCTTCTTCACCCTTTCGAAAGGACCAGATCGCGCCAGCCACGACACGCGCGAAGTCACGAACCCCACCACGCGCTTGACCAACTGCCGAGCCCGATCCAACGGCCACACCACCTTCGCTCGCCCATCACTGCCCTCCGTCGCCCCCCCGCTTGCTTGCTCCCCAGATCCAGTTTCTCCTCCCGCTTCTCCGCCTGCTCCCCCTGCTCCCCCTGCTCCCCCCGCTCCCCCGGCTCCCCCAGAACCCCCTGCGCCATCGGAGCGGGCTTCAGATCCGCCAGACTCGGACGCACCGGTACCGGCGGGTCCTGATGCCTCTTGCCGCTGGTCGCTCCCCGTCTTCCCCGCGCCCGGCGACGCTTCTTGACTTGCGTTGACTGCTGCGGACCACAAGGACCGCGAATGCGATCGCGGATTCGCTAAGTGAGAGCTGACGGTGGAAACCGGTCGAAAGGGAGAATCTGCTACTTTAGACGGTCCTAACGAGATCAGGGGATCTAGATCTGGCAATCTGACAGCGCGGAGAGCGGTTGGGAGCCACGTGGCACCTAGAGAATTTCGGATCTGGGCCGATCTGGTGCCGTAATCTTCGCTACTAAGAACGGCTGGTTGGTTATAGACACGGTCCGTGCTTCCGATGCTTCCGATTCTCCCGATACTTGTGATGCTGCCGGTTCTCGAAGTCAGGAACCCGGGTTCGTCCGCGGCGTAAGTTCCGCCCACGCAACTGTTAACGTAGCCGCTCTCATGTTCCCGTTTGAGTAACGCATTGACTGCGGTGAACAACGGACGAGGAGTGAAGTCCCGATTATGATGACGGATCGCGTTGCTCTGACCTCGCGAGATCAACGCTGATGGTTGATACTCCCGAAGACCGGGCGGCGGATGACTCCGCCACGTTTCAGATATCGATTGGCGGAGCGAGGGCAGGAGTCGGTTGCCCCGTTGAGGCCACATCGACACTGCGACGCGGTGCCCGCGACGAGATCGCGAGAGAATTCGGGGAGAGAAGACGGCAGCAACAGTGCGCGCCAAACGAATACTCGATCGCCAGACGGATCCAAGCACCGACGGGGAAAGTCCGTCGAGATGAACCCGAGGAGGAGGCGAAGGACGATACTGCACTAGCTCACGCTGCTGCCGATGACAGTAGTCGCAGCAGCAGTGCTTTTGGGCTGTTTAGTTTGGAGTAGCGTGGCTGGTCAGGAGATAGACTCGTGGGTATCACCAGACTCGTTGAAATCACACTTGAATTGAAGCGTGGTCCCCTCGGTTTCCTCCTGAAGCCCAGGAAATCCGCGACAGCTCACACATCTGGCCCCTACTTCCTGCTGTGAGCGACGCGATTTTTCCAGCACTAGACGACTGTGGAGCGGCTTTCTACGACAGCGAAATGTGAGGTGTGCGAGACAGCACTGCTCGGGGAATTGCTGGACGACGTTGGATGAAGGGCCTGGCGATGTTGAGCGAAAGGACAGAAGTGACACGCAACCGAGTCGTACGATTCCTGGGCGAATACGCGATACTGCAAAAATGGGCGTCAAGCTTTCTAGCTTTCAAGGGAGCAAATAGATTAATTAATTAAAACTTCCAGGACGTTCTCTATAATGTACTCCTAATTCAAGAGCTGGGTCCATCAACGGCAGCTGGAGATTGCTGCGAGGCTAGGATGGGCTCGAATTCACGCATGGCAGCTTCATAAACAGGTCGTTTAAATTCCACCGCCTGTAAAACATACGGTAAGGAACAAGGCAGCCACATGGAATTTACAAGCACATGGGTGAGTGAGGGTGGAAGTGGTGGGGAAGGAGAGACATGACAGTCACCACCAGTCCCCCCTTTTGTAGGGTGCTTCACTCATCTTACAGTGCAAATCCGGGTTTTTTTTTTTGTATCCCTCAGATCCCTCCAACATTCGCCCACATGCAGTTGCACACACTCCCTCTTATTCACGTAGCACTTCACTGCCCACTTTCCCGTCCATTCCGCCTCCCCCCACCCTTCCCAACCCCTACATAGTTGCCCCTGTGTTCCCTCCCTCCTCCCCCAACCGCATGACTCACCGCAGCCACCACGTCAGCAGGCGGCAGCCACTTGTACTCGGAGAACTCTGGCGGCTCGCCTCCCTGCCCCTCCAGATTGATCTCACTCTCCTCCCCCACAAAGCGGAACAGGAACCTGCCCACGGCATGGGATTGGATCCAATGGCAAGACATGGCATGGCACGGGATGAGATCGGGTGGGATGAGATGAGATGGGATGGGATGGGATGGGATGGGATGGGATGGGATGGGATGGGATGGGATGGGATGGGATGGGATGGGATGGGATGGGATGGGATGGGATGGGATGGGATGGGATGGGATGGGATGGGATGGGATGAGATGGGATGGGATGGGATGAGATGGGATGGGATGGGATGGGATGGGATGGGGTGTGGGATGGGATGGGATGGGATGGGATGGGATGGGATGGGATGGGATGGGATGGGATGGGATGGGATGGGATGGGATGGGATGGGATGGGGTGGGGTGGGGTGGGGTGGGATGGAATGGGATGGAGTGGGGTGGGATGGGATGGGATGGGATGCAGTGGAATGCAACGGGTGGTCCAGAACAGGGGGGCAGTAATGAACGGCAGTGGTGCATTAACGCACGGCGCAGCAGCCATGACACCATCTGCACACAGCGACACATACACACAGCACACTGCACCGCTATGCTCCCCTCCTCCCTCCCACCTGTCTCCCTCTCTCAAATCGCTCCCACCCTCTCCCAGTTTCTCCCACTCCCTCACACTCTCTCACACTCTCTTGCTTCCCCCACACGGCCACACGCACCATTTCTGAGCCTGTCCCTTCCACTCGCGGCCCCACTGCACGGCAAGCTTCTGGCGCACAGCGGGAGGGAAGTCGTAGCACAGCCACTCAGGCGTCTGTGAAAAGGGGGAGGAGTGAGGGGCGCAAAGGGAAGAGTGGCAGTTAGGGTGGGTACAGGCCGGTGGCGGGGAAGGGAGGAATGAAGGGAGGCGGTGGGGAGGGGAAGGAAACAATGGGAGCACGTCCGTGGTGAGGTTGCTTAACCCAGGTAAGGTGGAAGGGAGGAACAGAGAGGAAAGCAACAATTAACGTGCATGTGAATGCACTGGTTGAAGCAACTGGTGGGTACAAAAAAGGTTAACGTCTCACTGAGATGTCAAACCTTCTTCCTCTCTCTCTCACAACTACCGTTCCCTTCCTTTCCCTTTCCCTCCTCTCTCCCTCTTTCCCTCCCCCTCCCCCTTCCCTCCCCCGTCCCCCTTCCCTCCACTCCCCCTTCCCTCCCCCTCCCCTTCCCCACCTCCGCGAGCAGCAGGGCGGACGAGATGCCAGTCTCCTCGCGCAGCTCGCGCAGGGCGGCGCTGCGGATGTCCTCCCCCGCATCAATGCCGCCCTGCGCGGACGTACGCGCGCGGAAGGAAGGCGCGAGCGGGAAGGGGGAAAGGGGGGGACGGCAAAAGGGGGGTGGGGGAAGAGGGGGTGGAAAGAGTAAGGGGAAATGGGAGAGGCGGCGGAGAAGAGGGTGTTGAAGGGGAACCATGCGCGCAAAAGAGGCCATTGCGCATCTGAAGGGAGTACACTAAGCACCAGCGGGAATCAGCTTGCTGGCTCTGGCTGGTTAGCCTGGAGGGAGTGCGAAAGGCGACTGGGTGCTAGCCTGCTACGTAACACCTAAGACTGGCGGCAAGCTGCACACACACTCTCGGGCCAGCCTGCGTCCTAGGTGACCCCGTAACGGACGCCGTAAGTGACGCCGTAAGTGACGCCGTAAGTGACGCTGGGATTGACGCCGTGAGTGACGCCGTAAGTGACGCTGGGATTGACGCCGTGAGTGACGCCGTGAGTACCACCAGGCGTGCGAACACGACGTGCGCGTGCGGGGCAGTGGAGAGGAGAGGAGCGCACCTGCGGCATTTGCCACGCGCCAGGCATGTCCAGTCGCGACGCCACGAACACCTCGTTCGCCGCGTTCACCACGCACACCCCCACGTTCGCGCGATACCCCTCCGGGGGAGCCTCCGCTCCGCCGCCGGCAGTGGGCGAGACGCCACTCGCGTCAGCGGCCGATGACGACATGGCGACGACTGCGGCGCGACGGGCGGAACCTCGCGGCGCGCTGATCAGCGACGGGGTGCGGAATGCGCGGAGCGACGCGGGTGTGGCGGATGGGTACGCAGCGCTGGTGGCGGAGGCGCGGGAGAGCGCGAGCGGGACTGCGGCGAGCGCGGCTGGTGCGCAGGCGGAACGGGGCGCGGTGGCCGTGGCAGCCGCGGAAGGAGAAGGGAATGAGGAGAAGGGACGGCGCGGCGAGGCGTGTGCGTGTGTGTGACGTCGAAAGGCGGCTAGCGCGGCTGTGACTAGGGCGGGGGTGGGGGCAGCAGATGCTGTGGCGGCTACAGAGGCGGCCATGAATGGGATGGGATTGGTGGAAGACTGGGAGTGTGTGCGAACTGACGGGAAGGAGAGGGGGATTTGTTCATCTCTTCACTGTGGGCAGGCGGGGAAGGAAATGGGTGATGGGGGAGAGGGAGCATCGAATATGAGGTTTGATCGAGGTGGAATTAATTTTCCCGTTTCGGTACTTTCGAGGAGGAATTTATTTTGCTTGCTGATTCGTTCAAACACAAAGCTTTGCATGTGCGCATTCGTGGAGCTGAATTATTGGATAATCGTTCGACCTTACAGTGAGGATCGTGCTCCCAACTTCAGGACGGTTTCATTGCTTGTGTTATTTTCCGACGCAATCAGGTCCCTGCACCGGAGAATGTTACGAGGTTTACGCAAATGCAATTGTAGCAGAGAGATCCAATGAAAACTTCCAAGGCTGTGGTTCGGTTCATGCCACAAACTTCGATTCTGCGTGTGAAAGGACGTGTGGTGGCGTGTTGGCATCGCTGCGGAGTGCGCCCTCGACACGAATTGAAGCAGCAATCTTTGCGATGGTACGGGCTGGGTCCACCCTTAGCTCAGCGCCAATTTCCATCTGTATCTGATTGCTCGTGCTTCTCCGTGTCACGTCGCGACCCTGCGTCACACGCAGCACCGCGCTGTGCCGTCCGCACATCCCACACTCTCGCCGCCACTTGCGGAGAATCTGCGAAGCAGCTAAGCCGGCGAACAACTCGCTTCGAAATCGAGTGGTGCGAGAGAGTGCGGCGAGCGGCGGGGGGCGACAACGACGATGGCGATGTGGCGGCAAAAGACAATCTCTCTGCCCGCCTTCAACCGCGGCTGCCACCTCGTCACTCCGCACGTATCGTTGCCCACTGCCCTCCCTCCCTCCCTCACTTCCTGCCTCGGCTAATGTCCACTCGGTTCGTTTCTCGTCCAGTCCTGCACCGCTCGCCGTAGCTCTCTGCTTCCCTGCCTCTGAGCCTCTCTGCCTCTCCGCCGCTCTTTATCATCTTTGGGATCCCTTCCACCGTCTGCTCTTCCTATCATTATGAGTAGCATCGTAAGAAGCATCGTGCTAGTTTCCCTCGCCTCGCCGCTCAGTCCTCCTCTCCGTCCCGCTCCGTCCCTCTCCGTCCCTCTCCGTCCCCTCCGCTGTCTAGTCACCCGGTTATGCTCAGTGCGTGCGGTGTGTTGTGTTCTGTGTGCTGTCCTCTGTGCGGCGTGCATCAGGTGGTGAAGCAAGTAGAGGCGGACCTTGCAGCTTTCAAGTGCGGCCTGGCGCACATCTTCAGTGAGTGTCACCCCCTAGTGGGTGCTGCTGGCGGTGGTTTCGGTTATTTCCTGGAAAGAATCGGGATGGGGAAAGGGGTTGGTGGTGTTCTCTCTCTCTGTCTCTCCTCATACACACACACGCACACACACACTCACTCACACACACTCACACACACACATTCATACACACACACTCACTCTGCACACACTCGCTCCATTTATTTGACCTTCATATCTCAACCTTCCCACCATACCCTTCTCCGTCATTATCCATCTTGTCTTCCCCTAAATTCGTTCAACACACTTTCCTCCGCACCTGTCCCCACTCCCCTTTGACCCCGTGTCCCATATCTCCCTTGCCCCGGTGGTGCGGTGCTGCATGGGGAGCAGTCCAGCACACGAGTGCGTCGCTGACCATCAACGAGAACTGTGACAGGGACGTGCGCCACGACATGGAGACCTATCTCTCCTCGCACGTCCCAGAGGTCGCCCTCTCGCCCCTCTGTTTCCCTTCCCTCCCTCCCTCCCTCAATCCCTCCCTCCCTCCCACCCTCCCTCCCACCCTCCCTCCCTCACTCACTCACTTCCAGCTGCTTGTCACCGAGCGCCCATCCGTGTGTGCATCTATACTCTACTGCATCCTCCATCCTCCACCCCCCTCCATCGTTCCTGAGCTAGTCCACATGAACCATACGCGCTCGTTTAGCCATCATTCCACTATCCCACGCATCATCGTCATCATCATCATCGTCATCGTCATCATCATCATCGTCATCATCATCATCGTCATCATCATCATCATCATCGTCGTCGTCATCATCATCATCGTCATCATCATCATCATCGTCATCATCATCATCATCGTCATCGTCATCATCATCATCGTCATCATCATCATCGTCATCATCATCATCGTCGTCATCATCATCGTCGTCGTCATCATCATCATCATCATCATCATCATCATCATCATCATCATCATCATCATCATCATCATCATCATCATCATCATCATCATCATCATCATCATCATCATCATCATCATCATCATCATCATCATCATCATCATCATCATCATCATCGTCGTCGTCGTCGTCATCATCATCGTCATCATCATCATCGTCATCGTCATCATCATCGTCATCATCATCATCGTCGTCGTCGTCGGCGTCGTCGTCGTCGTCGTCATCATCATCATCATCACCTGCAGGCGCTTTCGCTCGCTGACCTTAGGACCGCTTGCAATCCCCCCGCAGCTCCTGCACGCGTCATTCCAACTCGTCCAGCTCAACATGTTACTCGCTTGCGGTCCTCGCCCTCCAGTCGAATAATTCTCTTTTTCTCTCTCTCCAAGCTCCCATCTCTCTCTCCACGCTCCCATCTCTCTCGTTCTCATGTCGACAGGGGCCCAAGGCTCCTTGGCGCCACACGGATGAAGGTCAGTCAGTCCGTCACACGTGGCAATCCACTCCCACACCTCTTAGCCAGCGCGCATGCCACTGCGTGCCTGCACTGCACCGCACTGTGCTGTCCCCTGCTGCTTCCTCTCAACTCACGCGTGTGTCCAATCCCATCCCATCCTATCTGTCTGCTCACTCTCACACACATACTTCTGCCATCAACATCATCGCACACACATGTGAAAGCATCAGATCGGACCATGCGTACCCATGGAGCGCCCATGCTGTAGTGTAGAGGTATCTGAAGATGCCCAGTGTAGGAGTAGAACAGAACAACACAGCAAACGGATTGCCTCCAACTAGTCAACCCCGCCGATCGTCCCCCGACCTTTCCCATCCTCCTCCCATCTCCTGCTCCTCTCCGTGCCACCATTCCCCCTCCCTCGTGTTACTCCCACATGTCCCATCCCATTCTCCTGGTCGCTCGGCTGTGACCATCGAGCAGGCTATGACGACATGCCAGCTCACGTCAAGGCGTCACTCTTTGGCAGCTCCGTCACGTGAGTGCCCTGCCCACCATCTCTCTCTCCCCCCATTTCCCCCCCGCCCCCACTTTCCCTCTCTTTCCCATTCTCGCTGTCTGCCTCTCTACATTGGTTTGTCATGCACGTTTGTTTATAGCCATCTTGACACGCCTGCTCTGTTGCTTCTGGCCCTCCTTGCCCTCGTCCTCCCTGCCTTGCTATGTGTCACCATCACCCGCTTTTACCTTGGTCACCCACAATTCCGCCAATGCCTCTCCACCCCTCTTGCGTCCTCCCTCCTCCCTTCCTCCTCCCTCCTCACCTTCCCTTCCCCCCTGACCTTGCCTGTCACTGCATCAACTTCCCTCTCCTCTCACTGCCCTCTCCCCTTCGGCGTTGTCCCTCGCTCTCTCTCCACACTCTCGTAATTCCTTGCTGCTCTCTCTCTCTCACGTTCCTCTCTGCTCTCGCCTTCCTCTCTGCCCGCGCCTGCCCATCTGCTCGCGCCTGCCCCTCCCCACCCCAGCATCCCAATCACGGACGGCCGGCTGAACCTGGGCACGTGGCAGGGTATCTGGCTGTGCGAGCACAGGGACCATGGGGGCTCACGCCGCCTCGTTGTCACTCTCTCTGGCTCCCCTACGTGATTCTCCCGCCTGCCTACCTGTCTGCCTCTTTGCCTCCTTGCCTGTTTCTCTTCCTTCCTGCTCTCGTTGCAATATTCTGCCTCAGTCAGCGGCAGTCTACATGAAACTATCAGCATTGTTTCGTGTAACTCGTATGGTATGTGTGACAATCGTATCATCAACGTTAATCGTAGAGTTGTATTGTATCTCACCACACCAGGCCACTACGCAATGCACGCGATGGGTTCGCTAAGTGACCACTATGCAATGCAATACACGCGATGGGTTCGCCGTGAGTGAGCCTCGCTTAAGAGTGCATAGCGGAGTGCTTGTTCTCTCGTACACATTGACTCATAGTAGTACACTGCCCATGAGTGTTACAGTGAGTTTGATTGTTTTTGTGGTGTGAAGATTTTGTTGTTTTCTAGTACACGTTATGGTAAAAACCCGATTGAGTTGAAAGTTGATAAAGCAGGCGTGACTTAGAAATAATGTCGCCGGCAAAACCAAGAGGAATCTATTACTGGAGGGTCAGTGGTTTGAGAGCAGGCAGGCCTTGTTGAAATATGGACCCGTAGTATCTTCTTTGCCTTCTAAACTCTGCTGAATAATGGTTTTTTTTTGTGGTTGACAGACTCGTAGTTTGAGCGAAGCACTCAACAGAGGAGATGAACTCACCTTGCCACATTTCATCCCCCGTCGCCTTCACAATTCCGCCCGCCACCATTCCCTCACAGTTCCACAAGTCCATTCACACTTCCAACACGCGTTCGTTCCAAGCGCTTCTAGCGCGTTTCACGGGACCTCTCAAGCTTTTTTCCACCGGTGCCACGCCGGACTGCCGGCCGGTCCAGCACGCGCACGCAATGACGCGCGCCGCCCCCGCCGCTCTTGTGCGTCCCACACCCGCCTACTATGGCGCTCGTTCCGCCGTCCAATCAGCTCCTTCCAGAACCCAATTCCGTTTCACACCGTCCGCATTCCCGTCACTAGCGCCTGCTGCAGCAGCAGCACCATCAACAGCACCGCACCTACGGTCGACAGTTGCATCTCTCATTACACCCTCTCGCTCGCCTTCCCTATCCTCCTCATCCTCCTCCTCCTCTTCTTCCTCCTTCCTGTCCTCTTCCGCTCGCCCCTTTTCATCCCACGGCCGATCTGAGCTCGCAGCTGCGGCATTCCATCGTGGCCGGTCGCGAATAGACTCCTCTGAGGGAAATGCAGCGGCGGGCTCGGCGGGGGGTATGGGCGCGGCGAGAGCGCTGTTCGGGCTGTTCGGCGGCGGGAAGGAGAGAGAGCGCGAGAAGAAGCAGAAGGAGGCTTCTATGGCGGCGCACGCCGATGTGCCGGTTCCTTTCAGCGCTGACCTTCTCGCGGGAACCTTCCTGGAAGGTGAGCCGGCTGAGTGATGCAGCTCGTTGGTGCTTGAACGTCGCTCCCTCGCAACTTGCGTGTTTCTTTTTTTTCCTTCCGAATCCCTTTTCCGTGCGTCATGTCGATTCGTTCTCTTCCCCCATTTTCCTTCAATTCGATGGTTGCGACACAACAAAGTGCTTCAGTACCATCCCCCACCCCGCCTCATGCCGCAGCACCCATCCAAAAGTCATCAACTGCACCCCTCCCTTCACTCTCCGAGCGTTCTATACCCCGCATCCCTCTCCGTCCGCCCTCCCCCAACCCGCCAGGCCGCGAGCTCGCGTGCTGCTACCGCGCAACGCAGGACGGCTTCTCCGCGTCCTCCTTCCACGCGCGCAGCGACTTCAAAGGCCCCGTCGTCGTCGTCGCCCTCGCGCCCTCCCCGTCCGCATCTGCCTCCGCGCCGCTCGGATCGTGGCTGCGCTTCGGCGCGTTCAACCCGGACGGCTACCGCAGCACAGACGACTATTTCGACTCCTTCGACGCGTTTCTCTTCTACTGGCCCGACGCGCCCGCGTCGCCACCCTTCGCACCCGTCTCCACCGCAGAAACCGACGCTCCCGCTCCTTCCGCTGCCGCGACCCCAGGAAAAACCCCACTCAAATGCACGTGGGGGGAGGGCGAGTGGGGCATGCCGGAGCTTCTACGCAAAGTAGGAGGCAGCGGCGCGGCGGTATTCGACTACGCACGTGGCGGCCCGCAGTTTGGCGCGGACGGGCTGCTGATTGGCCCGCCGCTCACGCCCGTCATGGGGGGCCTTGCTGGGCCGGACTCCAACTCAGGCGTGGGGGATCTGAGCACGGCGCGGTCGCGGCTGGGGCTGTCGTATGAGAAGCGGCGGGACGGGGAGGACTCGGTGTTTGGGGAAGGGAGGGAGGTGAAGGTGGCGGAGGTGCTGGTGTTCTTCAGCCCCGAGATTGCCCGCTTGTATTGATGATTCCGATGGTCGTCGGTTAAACGTGGTGATGATTGCGGGTACAGAGACGACTTTTGAGGCGCCTCAAAAGTCGGGAGGGAGAGGTGAAGGTGGTCGTGTTCTTCAGCCCCGAGATTGCCCGCCTGTACCTAATAATTATTTTGATTTTGACTCTGATTGATGGTTGTTGAAGAGGGGAAGGGGGGGGGGGGGGGATGGGGGGGGGGGGGGGGGGGGGGGGAGGGGGGGGGGAAGTTTGGTGGGGATGGGGCAACGGAGTGGTGTTTGGTGGTGGGATAGAGGTGAAGGTGGCGGAGGTGCTGGTGTTTTTAAGCCCGGAAATTGCTCGCATGTATCGATTGTGTCTGATGGACGGATGGTTGTGTTGTGTTGCATGTTTGAAGGAACGGAGGGTGGGAGGGGATGGTGAAGTAAACTGGTGGATGGATAGGGAGAGAGGGAGAAGCAGCATGCACTGCAACGCGATGCTGCATTGTACGGTAGTTTGGAGAATGAAGGGAAAGGAATGCAAGGGAGACAAAGGGAGCACCGTACTGTTGGTGCTGCTGTGCTGCTCTGCCACTGGTAGTTAATAATGTACGATCCATCAGCATGTGTGAAGCCGTGCTTGCAACTGCAAGCAGACTTGGCAGGTCTTTTATGGTACTACCTGCTTGTACCTTCAGTATACTTCTCATACGGTAGTATTCCCACGAGAGAACTGACTTGATACTACAGCAATGTGCGGCCGCTGAAGCATGACAATACAGCACTAATGTGAGAGAGGCAATTCTATCAACATCACTAGTGCTTCTTCTGCAGGTGAATGCCTGCATGACCTGAATCCTTGTTCAGCATCAGCAGCTTCAAGTTACCGTAGCACATGGCTGCAGCATGAGCGGTTTAGTGGATGCATGAGCCAGAATTCTGCCCAGACCAAGAATTACAGGACGAGGCATGCAAGCAATGGCGAGGGTAGAGGCAGGAAGATGAGCAGTGAGCGAAACAAGGACACAGAAAGAATTGACTGAGCTGCCTTTAGAAGAGTGTCATCTACAGTAATCTACCGGTATTTCAACTCCACAGGACCTTCCCTTCATGGGCAACCTTCCTTCTTCCATCCACCGCCTGTTCTCTCTGTGTTTCAGACTCTCTGAATGCCCGTTGCAGGACGGGTCACTGAACTGACCCACCACCAAGCAGCATCGTCGTGGGGGCAAAAGGATGACACACCCCTCCTGCAGCATGCCACCCTTCTGTGGCTGTGCAGTTGCTGCCATGCTGTTGATGCTACTGCTGCTGCCTCTACCAACTGAATAAACTGCCTTACCACATGTAGGCACCACCACCAGCACCAGCACCACAGCCGTCATAACAACTACCAGCAGCATCACATCGCATGCGCTGAACCACCACAGCCACACCTCTATCTCCGTTTCCCATGCCTCATGCCACTACACACTGCTCGTGCGCCCCACTCCTTGCGCACTCCATCATTTCTCCTCTCCTCCTGCTGGAGGCAAGCAAGACACGCGCCACGAGGGAGCAGCTGCATGCACTGCATTTCCTCTCTCTTTCCACCCTGCTTCCACCCCGCTTCCACCGCACTTTCACCCCTCTTCCACCCCCGTTCCACCCTGCTTCCAACCTGTTTCCACCCTGCTTTCATCCCCTGCTTCCACCCCCGTTCAACCCCGTTCCACCCTGTTTCCACCCTGCTTCCATCCCCTGCTAGCGCGCACAACTCTGCCAGAACCACAGCTATTGCTATCCTTGTCTCTACCTATCCACGTGCCACGTGCTATCCAGTATGCACTCAATCATGCCCAACCCTGTCAGCGGCCGGCCTCTATAGATGAAGAGCTGTCCACTCCGGGTTGGGCCATGGGGGATGCGGGGGGAGGGGAGGTGGCGGAGAGAGAGGAGGAGCGGAAGGAGGTGCGCGGGGCCTTGGAGGAGGATGTGGAGGTGGGCGAGTGGATGGGCTTTCTGCGCTCTATGATCTGCGGGGGGGTGGGGATGGGAGGGGGGGAGAGGGTGAGGGGGGGGGAGGAAGGGGGGGGGGGGGGTAGTGGGGAGTCGATTGCATGGGGGGTGCCTACTGAGGCGCCAAAAAAAGGGGGCGAATGCATGGGCTTAATGCACTCGATGATCTACGAGGGAGAGGGTTGGGGGGGAGGAGGAAGTTGGCGTGTGGGGAATCGATCATCGAGGGACAACCACGTTAAAAACAGAGTGAGGACGAGGCATGTCCGACCGGACCAGGTTGCGTCGTGTGCAGCCAGACAGATCTAGGGGGTAATGGAATGTGAAGGTTCAGGTCAGGCAGTAAGGAGGGAGGAGCAACGGAATTGCCGAAAACAGAGGCCAAACGAGGGGAGACGAGTGGAGAAGAGGGGAGATGAAGGAAGAAGAAAGTAGGAGGAGGGAAGAAGAGGGGAGAAGGAAGAGGAGGAAGGGTTTAGCGGAGAAGCGGGGAGGGGAGATGCGGGGTGAAGAGGTAAGAAGAGGGCAGAAGAGGCGGGAAGGAAGGGAAACGAGCAATAAAGAGTTTGGAAGAGGCAAGGAAGGAAGGGCACACCTTGGGGCCGCGGTAGTGTCCCCGTTGCACGACAAAGTCATCTGACGGCTGAAACTCCTCCAGCCAGCAGAACGGATTGCCCCTCTCCCCGTTCACCCCTGGGGGGAGCGCGCCTGACAGCAGACGCAGTGGGTGGGGTGGTTGAGGAAGGTAGCAGAGGGAAAGGAAGGAAAGGAGGGAGCAGAGAGCGGATGGGGAGTGGTTTGGCAGGTTGAGGGACACCAACATAATGAGTAACGTGGTGCACACGAGGAGCTAATGCCAGCAGCGGAGGGTCATGGCAGCCACGAGAGCAGACGACAGGCAAAAGGCAGGCAAGCAGCACAAGCACAAGCAGCAGCAGCAGCAGCAGCAGCAGCAGCAGGAGTTGTTGCAGCAGGAGCAGGAGCATCAGGAGAAGGAGCAGCAGGAGAAGGAGCAGCAGGAGCAGGAGCAGCAGGAGCAGGAGCAGGAGCAGCAGGAGCAGCAGGAGCAGGAGCAGCAGGAGCAGCAGCAGCAGCAGCAGCAGCAGCAGCAGCAGCAGCAGCAGCAGCAGCAGCAGCAGCAGCAGCAGCAGCAGGAGCAGCAGGAGCAGGAGCAGCAGGAGCAGCAGGAGCAGGAGCACGCACTGAGCGAGGAGAGCTCATGGAAGTAGCTGCAGTGGCGGCCGGCGTCGGCATTGTACGGCGGGGCGAGCACGTCCAGCACGGCGCAGGGCGTGACAGCAGTGAAGGCGTGCAGGTTGCCCCCGCACGTGGGGTGCAGCACCTCCGTGGCACACGGCGCTGTCAGCACCTGGTCCTCCACCAACTCCGCTAGCCGCGCTGCGGAGGGGGGGGGAGAGGGGGGGTAAGTGGGTGAGGGACATTTGCGACGTCTGGAAGACAACACGTGGGGTGCAGTGCAGCACCTGCGTGGTGGCACACAGCGCTGTCGTCCTCCACCAGCTCTGCTAGCCGCCGCACTGCACAAGGGGGAGGTTATGGCGGAGCGGAGGGATTGGGGGAAAGGGGAGTACTGAGATGTCTGACATCTCGCACATCCGTTGCTGGCACACACACACACACGGCGGCGCTGCCAGCACCGCACCCAGTCCTCCATCGGGTTGTTTTTGAGGATTCTCACAAACACCCTCCAGCACCTGGTCCTCCACCAGCTCCTCCGCGAGCCGCACCGCACTGCCCCGAGAGAGAGAGAGAGGTTGGGGGAGTTTTGAGACGTCTCAAAACCCACTCGTGGGGAGCAGGAGCAGGAGCAGGAGCAGGAGCAGGAGCAGGAGCAGGAGCAGGAGCAGGAGCAGGAGCAGGAGCAGGAGCAGGAGCAGAAGGAGCAGGAGCAGGAGCAGGAGCAGGAGCAGGAGCAGGAGCAGGAGCAGGAGCAGGAGCAGGAGCAGGACTTCCGTGGCGAATGGCGCTGCCAGCCATCACCTGGCCGTCCGCCTCTGGGGAAAAGGGGGGGATGGGGGAGGGATTGTGGGGAGGATGGTGTGGGGTGGGTCGGGGAGATTGGGAGGGGTTGGGGGAAGACAACGGGAGGGATGAGAGGAGGGATGGGAGCAGGGAAGGGTTGGGGGGGGGAAGAGGGGGGGAGGGATGGGGAAAGGATGGCGGAGAGATGGGCGGAGACATGGGGGTAGAGATTGGAGGAGGAGATTGAACGTGGTGGGATGGAATGTGGTAGCGGTGGCAGTGAGAGGGAGGGTGGCTGCGAGGTGGTGAACTGAGGGCAGGCGAGGCGACACAAGGAGGAGTTTAGAAACGCTGTGAAAACTCCTTGAAACGACTCCGAACCGAGGCAGACAGCTGAGTGAAGTGAAGCGCTATGAGGCGCTGAATCTCAGGCGCCTCATGAATACGTCACCCCGCCGTAACCCACCCTCAAGCATGGGTTTTTTAAGGTAAAAAGACGGGTGACTGAAACTATGTGGGTGAGAACTCATGCTACATGCAAGACAAGCGGGGCCAGTATAATGGTTGGGTGGGCGGCCGTGGGAGGGTGGGGAGAGTAAAGAGAGAGGGAACACAGAACAGAACAGAACAGAACAGAACCGCCAGAAACGCAGCATACCATCAGGCGTCGCAGAAGCAGACGTGGCAGCAGCAGCAGCGGCAGCAGACGCAGCAGCAGCAGCGGTGGCGAGGGCGGCGGAGGAGGCGGCGTCATCAATGGGGCGCACCCAGTCGAAGGAGCGGATGTGCATGGAGCCGTACAGCAGCTTCGACAGCACCGTCATACCCGGGTGGTTGTGCAGCGGTATGCGCGCCGACGCCGGCAAGCAGAATATGCCGATCTGTGGAACAATGCGGGGGGGAAGGGAGAGGGGGGGGGGGGGGGGGGGGAGAGGGGGAGGGAAGGGAGGGGGAGAACAAATTTGAGACGTCTCAAAAGCTGGGCAGCGGTATGCGCGCCGACGCCGGCAAACAGAATATGCCGATCTGTGTGGTAGTGTGGGGACGGCGGGGAGGGTGGGCGAGGGTGGGCGAGGGTGGGCGAGGAGGGGAAGCGGGGAGGCGAGGTAGGGAAAAAGGGGGTGTGGGTAGGGTGAAAGGGGGAGCGTGTGGGGGGGTGGGAAGGTGGGGAAGGGGCGAGGAGGAAGAGGGGGGTGAGGTGAGGGGAGAGAGCAGCTGCGCTGTCACGGCTGGGTGAACGCCTTGTGGTGCAAGGCAACCGCTGGAGTGGCTCATGGTGTGGCAGCGGCACCGCAATGCATTCCAATGCCACATTGGAACCGTATAGAGGTGCGGCTGGGACTGAGATTCTTCTTCTACTCCAGAGAGAGCCTGTGCCGTGCCCTCAATCGCTGTCGTTTTCCTCCGTCGACAATAGGCTGACAGACGGATAATACAACCATGAGACATGCGTGCTGTGTTCACAGCTTGCCCACCACCACACCACCCAACCGGACCTGGACCCAAACCTCAACCCGGACCTCAACCCAGCCAAACCCCAACCTGATCCAGAAAGAACCCCATCCTGGGCCGACGTTAGCCCTGATCCCAACACTGTCCGCCATGCCGCTGAAAGGCATTGGCATAACTTAATGACGCGGTTCACTCTTTCAGCATTCCTGGAAGGCTTTCGCTCCCAACTCGTTAGTTTTAAAGCCGTGAGGGAGAGTGCGGCGAGCAAAAGCGAGGGATACGTGATGGAGGAATGCTCGAGAGAATCTGAACGAGAGAGGGAGGGAGGGTGAGAAGAGTGAGAAGTAGGGAGAAAACGGAATAGTGGTGAAGGTGGGGGAGGAGCGGAGGGAGCGAGACAGGGAAGGCGGGATGGAGGGAGGGAGGGAGGGAGGGAGGGAGGGAGGGAGGGAGGGAGGGAGTGAGGGAGGGAGGGAGGGAGGGAGGGATGGCTGGCGGGAGAAAATAAGGGATATAGGGAGGGAGCAAGAAAGAAAGGTTTAAAGAGAAGGGGGGGAGGAAGGAGGGAGGCGAGAGCAGCGAGGAGCGATACTGCGGAGGGTGGGCGGGGGAAGTAAAGGGTGCAGGTGAGCCGGGGGGGAGCGGAGAGGGAAGGGGGAGGGGGGGTTGAAGAGGGGAGGGGACCAACGAGCCATAGCTCGTCCGCCGAAACAGCCGCTGCACCCTTGACGTGTCTCCACGTGCTAGGCTGGGCTGGACCCGGCAGTAGCACGGGCAGCGGGGAGGGACGCGAGGCGAGGCGTACCGAGAAGTCCTCACACTCGTAGACGTGCAGGTACGTGATGGCGGGAGACCACCGCGCCTGCTTTCCCCCCGAAGCCACCACCGCCGCCGCCGCCGCCGCCGGCGCTGGCCCTGGTCTCCGGCTATCCTGCCCGCGCGCCCCCCCTTTCCCCCCCCGCCCGCCTCCCCCTTTCGCCCCGGGTGCCGCTCTGACAGGGGAGCCCTCCGCCCCTGCCGCCCCCGCCGCCATGGCCTCTAGCCCTACGTCCGCCGGGCGGATCGCGTCTGGCGGGGAGGCAGGCGGAAGAAGCAGCGGCGCGGGGGTTTTCCGAAGTGGGGGACGGAGGGGTTGGGAGGGGAGGGAGGGGGTGGGGGGGGAAGGGAGAGGGGTTTTTTCATCTAAAGAGAAAATACAACGAACCTTTTACTACAGCCGCTATGGCCCTCCGGGCCTGTATCCGCGAGCAAGACGGCCGGTTGGAGGAATGCAGGGATTGCGAATCGTGGGAGTGGAGTCAGGTAGGTGGTAGATGGGTCCGTGAGCGGAAAGAAAGCGAGGTCGGACAGAACAGAAGTTGTATAGCCGGTCCATGAAATCAAAGGCTGGCGTTGCGACGACGCGACGCGTCCATACCTAGAATGGTCCGGACCCGTTGTAACGCTTGTGCGTCGGGTAGTTGCGAGCCAACAAAAGCGGCTCGGCACGCATCGTGAAGCTTCTGCACTTTGGGCATGGCTGCTGCGCGGTCGTCGCCGTCGCCGTCGTCGTCGTCGTCGTCGTCGTTGTCGTCGTCGTCGTCCGGCGACACAATACTACAACAACACCGCGCGACAACAGCCCGACGCGCCCGACGTGCGGAAACCCTAATCCCACCCCTCCTGCTACCCCCCCAGCTACTCCTGCTGCTATTGCTGTCCCCGCTGTCACTGCTCCCGATGCACCCCCCGCTGCTGCTACTACCGACAACCGCGCGACTCGCTCCGCGTCGACGGCAGCAATCCGCTCGCGCTCGTGACAGCGGTCGACGAGGTCGGCCGCCGCTTTCCCCACGCTCTATCAACCCCAACCCTGTCGCAGCAGCACGGTTGCGACTCCGCCCACTGTGACTTTGCCGGCCGGAAGCTATAGTAACGAGAGGTGCGAAGCTCGGCGCGCAAGAGAAGGTGCGCGAAAGGGTAGTCAGGGGCGAGATGGGCGAGAGGGGAGAGCGGCGCGAAAAAGCTGGGAGCGGAGGGAGGGGAGACCGGGTGACGACGGTGGTGGAGCGGAGGGGGGTTGCGAGGTGGGTCGAGCGCGGATTAGGGTTACGGCGGAAGTTGAGGCTCACGAACGCCGGTGAGGAGGGTAGTAGCGGCGCTCGAGACGCATGATCATGGGTAACAGGGAGGGGTGAAACAAATCGGTGGAGAGCGGTGACGGCAGCAGCGCGTGGCAAAGGCGAGCGGGATGGGCGCAGACGAGCCACCAGCGGTCGGAGAGGCGAGAGAGCAGAGGGCGCCACGATGGCAGCGATGGGGAACGATGGAGGGGAATAACGGCGGAGGGAAAGGGATATATTGTGGTACGTCTACTTATTGTCGGTTCTGTACGTAAATGCTTATGGACGCCGTGTGGAACAACGCGCGGTTGTTGACAAAACGGCGCTTATCGGTCAGTCACCCTCGATCACGGAAATGGCGAAAGGCAAGCTCGAACGACCTCCGGGGAACGCAAAGCCCATCAGCCTTAAAGGAAACGAAAAGAACAGAAGACAAATCCCCCCTCCTCCAAAAAGTAAAAAATGGCACGGATATTTGTGCTTGCACGAACTAAAACCCTTATTAGTTCCCTGTTAGACCATGCGCGGTAAGCGATGAATGTGACACGCCTGATGAACCGAGCGCGCCGACCTGATACTCTAACGCACCGTTGCGTGAACCTCGCAACCATCCAGCACCCTCAACCACATCTCCACCAAACCACTATTATCTTGACGCTGTGACGCAGAGAGCTCTCAAGACGGCCAACTGGATTATTGACGATCAGCTGAGGTATGGTAACCAGCCATTTCACCAGCCTCCACAACACAACAGCAGAAGCCTACCGAGCAGGGCTGTCGATTGCAGGGCGTTTGCCCTGCTGGACCTTGAATTCCAGGGATGGGTTTCCCTTGGAAACTGAAATTGATGGGTTGAATATATTCAGGCCCTGATTCTTACAGAGCTATTTTGGGCTGATGCCTGGTGTTAAGGGTATTTTACGACGTGTTGCGACCCACACGGATTGGGTCGACCAAACCCCGATCCATCACTTCTAGGAAGGCTGCATCACGGGTCTAGCCGACCAGGTCGAGCCAACCAGACCCGGTTGGGTCTGCCTGACCTGGGTCGACCAGGTCGGCTCAACCAGGCCAACCAGACCCAACCCAATCGAGCTGGAGAAGGTTACCATAGTCTGCGAACTTCAGAGCTCTCGCGCAAATGTCGCCTCGAATTCGCCGCACAGAATGATACCCTGTAACATCGATGCGAATTTTCCAGCTCACCATCCCCCCGCCCGGCAACTGCTCTCCTGGTCCCTCGAGGATGCACGGAAATCGACGGGAAATTCCGTGATTTCCCGAGTCGCGTTTCCGAAGATCTGGTCGGGTTGGGTTTAGCCGACCAGGTAGAGCCGACCCAACCCAATCTCGTTGGGTCGTAACACGTCGTTAGGCGAGTCCTGGAACAAAATCTTTTGAGCCCCCCCTTCCCCTTCCCTCCCTTCCCCCAACACCCCTCCCTCTCCTCCCCTTCGTTTCTAACCTGATTGCATCCAACCTGGTTAGGCCACAAATTCAACTCAACCTAGAACTTGTGCTTAAACCAATCACAACTCGCTCTCTGTGGAGTGGTAGACGGTAGGCTGGGTAGAGTGCACAAGATCATCGGTTCTGCAAAGGATAGGAGGCCTGCAAAGCGTGCGTAGTGATATGACGCTAACTAATTTTCTTCGTCGTGTTTGCTTGCTTGTGTTTCATCTCAAACGAGTTGTAAGCTTGGTAGTTGAAATGAGGCTCTGGAATTTTCCCACCAAACCTGATTCAAGGAAGGAATTTTTTCCATCCCTGAAGCCTAAAGGGCCGAGATCCCCCCCAACCCTGCTAAATACAGGGTCATAAATGACGGGCCCCCTAATTTGTCCGGGGGGCCCAAAACGAAACGACAGGCCTGCTACCGAGAGCAAAAGGTTTCGAGGATAACAGTGTTTATGGTGCGGTGCCTGGCGGTGGCGGCTGCTGGGGGGGGGGGGAGGGCAGGGCAGTGGTGAAGGGAGGGGGAGAGGGTGACACGACACTCCGGTTCTCATCTCACGTTGCAGGGTTGCTCAGCCCACAGCGAACGGAGTGCTCACGCAACAATCGGGGCACCGCGGGGAGATTTGGGGTTGGGAGATAGGATGCTGGAGTGTGGTGCACGGAATTCTATCCGCAAGAATTTCTGTACAAGATTCACACACTATTTCCTGAATTCAGATATTCGTTATCGAGAACCTTATTGTGAAACACCGAATTGTGGTTTTTTCAGCAGCCAAGTGCCCGCAACCCATTCGAGACGAATGGATCATGTCTGTAGTGAACAATGAGGAGAATCATTCTGGCAGACCGAACTGTTAGGTTTGCGACAAACTCGTTTGCCGCCCACATTATCATTCTCTAAATATCGCGTACTGTTAGCACAATCCCCAACATCTACGCCAACGGGCGGGCCATTGGTGAGTGGTTTTCCGCACATAGCAGCAGGGCTGTCGATTGGTTTGGAGCCAGAACTTGAGAGTCTGAGGTGCCCCAAAAGTTGCCCTGAAATTTACGGGCTGAGAGCAAACCTGGCACTTGAAATCAGGACTAGCAGCTTTTTGCACTTTCGCTAAGGAAACCCCACATCTCTTCGGGTCCGTATCTTAAGCAAACTACTAAGATCCAGCTAAGCAATAGGCTGAGGTACGAAACATTTCGATGGATTTGACAGGGATGGGAAAAGTAGGGGAATGGCTGGGAGGAGGCGAGTGGACTGGTGAGGGAATGGAAGGGAGGGAGGTATTAGTATAGGACAATAAGGGCTAGCCGCGGGATCTGCACTTGAAATCCGGGTTAGGCCCACAACCAGCACTTAACGGGGACGGGCTGCCCTCAAATCCAACCCTTAAAATTCGGAAGCTGGGCCGAACCCAACCCTTAATGTTCAGGGCATTAAGGGCATTTGCCCTTGAATCGTCAGCCCTGCATAGCAGGTGAGAGATATGATCATAAGAGATGCGTGTGACCTGCAACACCACAACGGCGTAATGTCTTGTGATGCAAAGCTTATGGTGGAACTTACGTGAACTGAAGTTTCATGCATACACAGAGTGTTGTACTGTTGCCCCTTGATATGGTCTCATGGTCTGGGCAATAGATACTGTGAAATGCCACCACACCACAACATAAAAGGAAATTGTAGTAAGGGTACACATTCACCCCAACATGTTTGAGATGTGTAGACAATGTACTATGGTCCTGTTCGATAGCAATTCAGGAAAAACCCCCCCACCATTGCCCAAGCACAATGGTGGGAGCGTAAAGACAAACGCTGAGTCGTCCGGCACCGCCGGCAGGGAAATGATTACAGCCGACTGCCTGCCGCCTTCGATCACCTCGCTCAACGGCCAAGGTGTGTCACACCACAGGCTTAACGGCCAAGGTGTGTCACACCACGGTGGTAACAGTGGGCAGTAAGCGAGGCTAAGGTTTCCCCACAGTGATGTTGGGTCTGCCAAAAAAAAACCCAACCCGGGACCAAAATGATCGTAAAAAAAAAAGGGAAACGGCATGTAACGAACCACCTCCTCAAAATGACGACTCAACAAGCAAACCCTAATTTCGCAATACCGTCGTCTCGAAAGATGGATTACGATCCGCTTAGGCTTAGACAACTTAACGAGCGTTCCGACATAGATCACAATGCATCTAGCGTCTTAACTAACCTTGGGATCATTCTCAGCCAGGCATTAGTACAACGTCTTCTACTCCATCTGCTCGACGCACAGTCTTCTCAGCAGCCACGTAGGATTCCAAAGCACACCTCCATATTAAAGGGACGCGCGTATGCACGCGAACTCCTCATGGGGCATCCAGGCCGCATGCGGGAGTGTTTACGCATGGAGTCGCCGCTATTTTGCAGGTTGCACGAGTTACTCGCGACACGCGGCCTCACAGTGGACGGCCGAGATGTGACCACCTACGAACAGCTGATGATCTTCCTACAGCTGGTTGGGCATACGACCCCCAACCGGGTCCTACAAGAACGATGGCAGCGCTCTGGGTCAACAATCTCACTGTGTGTAAGAGCTGTACTCCGTGCGCTCTGTGCGCTGCAGCATGAATTTATACGCTTACCAACAGACAGCCAGATAGATGTATTTGAGTTTCGACCAGAATATGTCTTCTTCCGGGATGCGATCGGAGCAGTAGACGGTACGCTGATCCCTGCCCACATTCTCGCTTCCCGTCAAGCACCGTTCTTTGATAGGCATGGGAACGTGTCCCAGAATGTCCTTGCCGTAGTAGATTTCCATGACAATTTCATATATTGCCTAGTTGGATGGGAAGGATCCACCCACGACGCAACTTTATGGTCAAATGCACTGGCCCGTGGCTTCGTATTGCCGCGCGGTAAGTATCTCTTAGCCGACTCTGGCTTCCGTAACGACGCTAACTGCCTCACCCCATACAGGACAACCCTCTACCATTTGCAGCAGTTTCGGGATGCGGGTTTCCTGCCCCGCAATCATCAGGAGCTATTCAATAGGTGGCATTCGTCACTGCGCTCTCACGTAGAGTGTGCCTTTGGGCAGCTTAAGGCAAGGTTCCCTATCCTTCGGTTTATGCGACCATATCGCTATGCCACTCAATGTAACATCGTCATCTGCTGTATGATTCTCCATAACTATGTGAAACGGTTTGGCGGACTTGACTTCGAGGATGGCAATGGGGATGGTGCTGCCGCCATCGCAAGTCCAATGGAGTCAAGTAGGCCCGCTCACGGAAGGCCCATGACTCTGGGTGCGTCGGCACACTTCGGCCGTGCCAGACGCGATCGCATTGCTGCTGCCTTGTGGGCATCCAGGCGCCCTGGCGTGACTAGTAGAGATTAGACCTCTCCTTTTGTGGACACTTTGTTATGTCATAAACACAAACCAGTTTACTCTGCCTCAGTTTATGCTTTGTTATGTCATAAACACTAGACGACTACAAGTTGTTCCTCTTCGGGGGTGTAATGCTTGGTGAACCTTCAGTTCATTTGTCCCGGCTGACTACGATGTTGTGCTGGCAAGTGTGCGTCACCGATTTGAAGTGCTACTTTGCCGCTTGAACAGTGATTCATTGCTGTCTACTCACCATATATGACATGCCTCTATGCTATTACCGTGCTCTGTTGGACCCTAAGCTAGGGGTTGGCTATGGTGTGAATGTTGGGTAGGGGATATATCTTACACAGCTGCATACATGAACATTTCTTCAACTCTATGTGTAGGAGCATGGTTCAATACTGAGATATGGCGTACCGGTACAAAGAGCATACATTGTACTTGATTCCAACAGCCAGCTAACCCTGTCTTATTGAGGTACATAAGGTAGCCACCATAGGGCGCTGCCGAAGTGCTTGCAGAGTGCCGTGCACAGCGACATGTCGTGCACAGTTGCCTGACTTGTTGGCTGATGGGTGTTGCAGCTCCCAAGCCCGCCTTACACGCAGGGACGACGGCAACAGCTAGTGCAGGGCCTTATGAGGGGAAAGCAGGGAATGAGATGAGGGGAAAGCAGGGAATGAGTTGAGGGGAAAGCAGGGAATGAGATGAGGGGAAAGCAGGGAATGAGATGAGGGGAAAGCAGGGAATGAGATGAGGGGAAAGCAGGGAATGAGATGAGGGGAAAGCAGGGAATGAGATGAGGGGAAAGCAGGGAATGAGATGAGGGGAAAGCAGGGAATGAGATGAGGGGAAAGCAGGGAATGAGATGAGGGGATAGCAGGGAAGGAGATGAGGGGATAGCAGGGAATGAGATGAGGGGAAAGCAGGGAAGGAGATGAGGGGAAAGCAGGGAATGAGATGAGGGGAAAGCAGGGAATGAGTTGAGGGGAAAGCAGGGAATGAGAGGAGGGGAAAGCAGGGAAGGAGATGAGGGGATAGCAGGGAATGAGATGAGGGGAAAGCAGGGAATGAGATGAGGGGAAAGCAGGGAATGAGATGAGGGGAAAGCAGGGAATGAGATGAGGGGATAGCAGGGAATGAGATGAGGGGAAAGCAGGGAAGGAGATGAGGGGAAAGCAGGGAATGAGATGAGGGGAAAGCAGGGAATGAGTTGAGGGGAAAGCAGGGAATGAGAGGAGGGGAAAGCAGGGAAGGAGATGAGGGGATAGCAGGGAATGAGATGAGGGGAAAGCAGGGAATGAGATGAGGGGAAAGCAGGGAAGGAGATGAGGGGAAAGCAGGGAATGAGAGGAGGGGAAAGCAGGGAATGAGAGGAGGGGAAAGCAGGGAAGGAGATGAGGGGATAGCAGGGAATGAGATGAGGGGAAAGCAGGGAATGAGATGAGGGGAAAGCAGGGAAGGAGATGAGGGGATAGCAGGGAATGAGTTGAGGGGAAAGCAGGGAATGAGAGGAGGTGAAAGCAGGGAAGGAGATGAGGGGATAGCAGGGAATGAGATGAGGGGAAAGCAGGGAATGAGATGAGGGGAAAGCAGGGAAGGAGATGAGGGGAAAGCAGGGAATGAGAGGAGGGGAAAGCAGGGAATGAGATGAGGGGAAAGCTGGGAATGAGATGAGGGGAAAGCAGGGAATGAGATGAGGGGAAAGCAGGGAAGGAGATGAGGGGATAGCAGGGAATGAGATGAGGGGAAAGCAGGGAATGAGATGAGGGGAAAGCAGGGAATGAGATGAGGGGAAAGCAGGGAAGGAGATGAGGGGAAAGCAGGGAATGAGATGAGGGGAAAGCAGGGAAGGAGATGAGGGGAAAGCAGGGAATGAGATGAGGGGAAAGCAGGGAATGAGTTGAGGGGAAAGCAGGGAATGAGAGGAGGGGAAAGCAGGGAAGGAGATGAGGGGATAGCAGGGAATGAGATGAGGGGAAAGCAGGGAATGAGATGAGGGGAAAGCTGGGAATGAGATGAGGGGATAGCAGGGAATGAGATGAGGGGAAAGCAGGGAATGAGATGAGGGGAAAGCAGGGAATGAGATGAGGGGAAAGCAGGGAATGAGATGAAGGGAAAGCAGGGAATGAGATGAGGGGAAAGCAGGGAATGAGATGAGGGGAAAGCAGGGAATGAGATGAGGGGAAAGCTGGAAATGAGATGAGGGGATAGCAGGGAATGAGATGAGGGGAAAGCAGGGAATGAGATGAGGGGAAAGCAGGGAATGAGATGAGGGGAAAGCAGGGAAGGAGATGAGGGGAAAGCAGGGAATGAGAGGAGGGGAAAGCAGGGAATGAGATGAGGGGAAAGCTGGGAATGAGATGAGGGGATAGCAGGGAATGAGATGAGGGGAAAGCAGGGAATGAGTTGAGGGGAAAGCAGGGAATGAGAGGAGGGGAAAGCAGGGAAGGAGATGAGGGGATAGCAGGGAATGAGATGAGGGGAAAGCAGGGAATGAGATGAGGGGAAAGCTGGGAATGAGATGAAGGGAAAGCAGGGAATGAGATGAGGGGATAGCAGGGAATGAGATGAGGGGAAAGCAGGGAATGAGATGAGGGGAAAGCAGGGAAGGAGATGAAGGGAAAGCAGGGAATGAGATGAGGGGATAGCAGGGAATGAGATGAGGGGAAAGCAGGGAATGAGATGAGGGGAAAGCTGGGAATGAGATGAGGGGATAGCAGGGAATGAGATGAGGGGAAAGCAGGGAATGAGATGAGGGGAAAGCAGGGAATGAGATGAGGGGAAAGCAGGGAATGAGATGAAGGGAAAGCAGGGAATGAGATGAGGGGATAGCAGGGAATGAGATGAGGGGAAAGCAGGGAATGAGATGAGGGGAAAGCAGGGAAGGAGATGAGGGGAAAGCAGGGAATGAGATGAGGGGAAAGCAGGGAATGAGATGAGGGGAAAGCAGGGAATGAGATGAGGGGAAAGCAGGGAATGAGATGAGGGGAAAGCAGGGAATGAGATGAGGGGAAAGCAGGGAATGAGATGAGGGGAAAGCAGGGAATGAGATGAGGGGATAGCAGGGAATGAGATGAGGGGAAAGCAGGGAATGAGATGAGGGGAAAGCAGGGAAGGAGATGAGGGGAAAGCAGGGAATGAGATGAGGGGAAAGCAGGGAAGGAGATGAGGGGAAAGCAGGGAATGAGATGAGGGGAAAGCAGGGAATGAGATGAGGGGAAAGCAGGGAATGAGATGAGGGGTAAGCAGGGAATGAGATGAGGGGAAAGCAGGGAAGGAGATGAGGGGAAAGCAGGGAATGAGATGAGGGGAAAGCAGGGAATGAGATGAGGGGAAAGCAGGGAATGAGATGAAGGGAAAGCAGGGAATGAGATGAGGGGAAAGCAGGGAATGAGATGAGGGGAAAGCAGGGAAGGAGATGAGGGGAAAGCAGGGAATGAGATGAAGGGAAAGCAGGGAATGAGATGAGGGGAAAGCAGGGAATGAGATGAGGGGAAAGCAGGGAAGGAGATGAGGGGAAAGCAGGGAATGAGATGAGGGGAAAGCAGGGAATGAGTTGAGGGGAAAGCAGGGAATGAGATGAGGGGTAAGCAGGGAATGAGATGAGGGGAAAGCAGGGAAGGAGATGAGGGGAAAGCAGGGAATGAGATGAGGGGAAAGCAGGGAATGAGATGAGGGGAAAGCAGGGAATGAGATGAAGGGAAAGCAGGGAATGAGATGAGGGGAAAGCAGGGAATGAGATGAGGGGAAAGCAGGGAAGGAGATGAGGGGAAAGCAGGGAATGAGATGAAGGGAAAGCAGGGAATGAGATGAGGGGAAAGCAGGGAATGAGATGAGGGGAAAGCAGGGAAGGAGATGAGGGGAAAGCAGGGAATGAGATGAGGGGAAAGCAGGGAATGAGTTGAGGGGAAAGCAGGGAATGAGAGGAGGGGAAAGCAGGGAAGGAGATGAGGGGAAAGCAGGGAATGAGAGGAGGGGAAAGCAGGGAATGAGAGGAGGGGAAAGCAGGGAATGCACCTGTCATTATAGGAGTAGAGGGTCCGGGAGGTGGGAGGAATGGGAGAAGAGTGGAGGGTGGGAAGTGAACGAGACGATGGGGAAATGCAAACAGGAAAGCCCATTGGGAGTTGTGTCGGATGTCATCAAACCCTCTGCTGCCCCCAGCAGCGCCAACACTTCCCTCCCCTACCCACGCACATGCCCACTGCCCCATCAATGCCCATTACATGCCCCACCCACGCCCCACCCACTCCCAGTGTCTCACCTGCACCTTGCGGGTAGAGGCGGTTCCCCGCTTGCTAGTTGTCGAGAGCACCCATGCCGTACATGGCCATGTGTCTCACCTATCATGCATACACGCCTTGCTCCTCCAATGCCCCCGTTCCCCTCACTCGATCCCTGAAGCGTCTCACCTGCCCCTCTGGAGTAGAGGCGAATGCCGGCCTGGCAGTTGTTGAGATCGTAGGATCCATACATGGCCATGCACGATGTCAGGACCCCCCCTGCTCCCAGGTGGGAACCACGAGACGCACGTTGGCAGGTAGACTGGATGGAGAGGGCGAAGGGTGAATGGGGCAGGGGGATGGGAGGGATGATGGGGGAGAGGATATCCAGACCTCTAGTGCAAGTCAGTGCATTCAAGTTAGCGATTGGCGCAGAATGGGTTCAGTGCAATGAAGTTGACGAGAGACTGAGCAAGTCGGAGGAACCGAACCTCTGACGGATATTTAGGATGACAAGCTGAACCTCTCACCGCAGCTATGTCTTACCCCACATCGTTCCGCAACTCACCGCTTCCGATCCCTTGCTATCCCGTTGCCACTGAAGCTGACCCCCTCGCGTCAGCTATGTCTTACCCCACATCGTTCCGCAACTCCCATTGTCCCAGATGCTCCGCCTGCTAAACTCTCGCACTTCTAACTTCTTCCTACCCTTCTCCGCGTGACAATTCACCCCCCTCCTCTCTCTGTTCACCCTGCTCACCCAGCTCAATCTCGTCCCTAGGCTTCCTTATACCCACTCAGATCAGCGCACTCTCGGAATGGTACTCTCATTCCTCATATACATTCCCCAACAATGCCCGCCAAAATTTCGGGTGTCCCCACAACCACCTCTGATTCCCACTACCCCCATTACTCCATGCGCATTCTCTACCCCCCACCGTTACCTCTACGCCTCCAGCCGAGCTTCGACCATCAAACATACCCCCTGCTAAATCCAAGTGACCCTTGCTCCCTCTACCATCTCTGCTACACTTAGTCTATGTGCTCTATATACCCCTCTTGCTCTATCCGCTCGCTCTGTTCCCTCTGCACCCTACGCTACGTTTACCCACAGCGCAATTGCTACTCCCTATACCCTCTACCCCCTATTCCCCCCTGCCCCTGTGAATCACAGTAGGGGCGCCGCCCTCATGGCGCCCTCGTCGCACAGCTCCTCATCAGCTCCCAGCTCTTCCTCTGCTCCCAGCCCATCGTCTGCTCCCAGCACCTCCTCATCGCCCACTCCTCCTCCTACGGCCATTCCCACCCCTGCGCCCACTCCTCCCCATGGCCCCACTCTTTCCACAGCGCCCACTCCTTCCCCTGTGCCCGTTCCCCTTGGTCCCACCCCTCCTCTTGCACCGAGCCTCCCTCCTGATCCCAGTCCTCCTACTGTCATCCCCAGTACTCTTGCTCCCAGGCCTCCACTGGAGTCAATGCCTTCACCAGCGCCGAGTATTCCCTCCGCGCCCATTCCTCCTCCTGCGCCCATTCCTCCTCCTGCGCCCATTCCTCCTCCTGCGCCCATTCCTCCTCCTGCGCCCATTCCTCCTCCTGCGCCCATTCCTCCTCCTACGCCCATTCCTCCTCCTGCGCCCATTCCTCCTCCTGCGCCCATTCCTCCTCCTGCGCCCATTCCTCCTCCTGCGCCCATTCCTCCTCCTGCGCCCATTCCTCCTCCTGCGCCCATTCCTCCTCCTGCGCCCATTCCTCCTCCTGCGCCCATTCCTCCTCCTGCGCCCATTCCTCCTCCTGCTCCCATTCCTCCTCCTGCGCCCATTCCTCCTCCTGCGCCCCTTCCTCCTCCTGCGCCCATTCCTCCTCCTGCGCCCATTCCTCCTCCTGCTCCCATTCCTCCTCCTGCTCCCATTCCTCCTCCTGCGCCCATTCCTCCTGCATTCCTCCTCCTGCGCCCATTCCTCCTCCTGCGCCCATTCCTCCTCCTGCGCCCATTCCTCCTCCTGCGCCCATTCCTCCTCCTGCGCCCATTCCTCCTCCTGCGCCCATTCCTCCTCCTGCGCCCATTCCTCCTCCTGCGCCCATTCCTCCTCCTGCGCCCATTCCTCCTCCTGCTCCCATTCCTCCTCCTGCTCCCATTCCTCCTCCTGCGCCCATTCCTCCTCCTGCTCCCATTCCTCCTCCTGCTCCCATTCCCCCTCCTGCTCCCACTCCTCCTCCTGCTCCCATTCCTCCTCCTGCTCCCAGTCCTCCTCCTGCGCCCATTCCTCCTCCTGCTCCCACTCCTCCCCCTGCTCCCAGCCCTCCTACTCCTGCACCCAGCCCGCCTCCTGCTCCCAGCCCTAGCCATGATCGTCGCATCCCCCCTACTAGAACCCCCCTCCCGGCCCCCATTTCCGCCCCTGCTCCCAGCCCTTCAGTTGCCCTCAGCCCGCCTCCTGCACCCAGGCCACGACTTGCCCTCAGGCCTCTTCTTGCTACCACTCCGCCTCCTGCTGGTATTCCGGCCCGGGCGCCCTCTCCCTCCTCTGCTCCCGTACCCCCCCCTGCTCGCACTCCCCTCCTTGCTCCCATTTCCCCCCCTGCTCCAACTACCCCCCTTGCTCCCAACCCTTCCAATGCTCCCACTCCCATTCCTCCATCTGCTTGCATTCCGAACCCAGCTCCCTGCCCGGCCCTTGCCCGCTCCACTCCACCTTCTCCTATTCCGGCCCGTCCGTCCACTTCTCCTTGCCATAACACATCACGTTCGTCGGTGGGCTCGCTCTCGCCGGCAGAGTCGTCTGTTCTCGCAGCAATATACCATCGTCGTAGCACGTCATTCATCCCCTCAAATGCCACAGCATCTCGCGGGCTCCGAATAAATAGGAGGATGACGTAAAGCTTTTGCCGGTACGACACGTCTGCCATGGAGGTAAGTATACTCGTGGCGTTCCGCAGAGATATGTTGGCGTCATCTGTGTGGGTGTCTTTAAGAGGGAGTAGCACACGCAGTTGCAACGGGTCATGAGTTCAGCATGGGCAATATTTGCATGCAATCACGAGGGGTTAGTGGTCACCCCGTTGGGGCTCCACACACTACACTAACTCAAACCAGATTGCGACAAACGGAGTTGTGTTAAAGTAGTAGTGCGCCAGTGCACCTCACGGTGAATCTGTGGCTTGGTTTTGACCAGGCGAAAGAGATGGGGGGTAATGTACTTACTCTCTTGCCTGAAGGTGACTCCCTGCTGCAGCACGCTCGCTATAGCTGTCATATTATCGCCGTCCAGGGACCCGCTGCTGCGACCACTGGACCTGGAACCTTGACCGGGCCCGGACATACTAAGGCGACGCCTTGTGCCGGCACTGCCTGCTTCTCGGACCCCTGAACCCGGGAGGCCGCCTGCCCTATCTTCCGGCATCGCAGACCCCTGCGACCCCCGAGCAGGCGACGGGGTTGACACTGTCGCGTGGTTTCGAGGTGGAGTCCGCTCCAACCCAGGGCCCAACCAGGGCACGGTAGACGGTCGGGCAGCACGCACTGGTGAGGGCAATGCAGCTGGATCGGGAGATGTGGTGGGTGCGGGGGTGTAGGAGCGGGCTGCATGTGCGCGCGAGTTGGTGCCAGTTGCAAGGGGGGAAGAATTGTTGGCTGCAGCTGCATTCGCCGGGCCGGGGAACACGGGGGAGGTTGTAGTCGCCGCTATCACGGGTGGTGGGGTTGTGACAGGGACCCCGGGTAGTGGCTGGTCAGTGGGGTCAAGGTGTTGGCGGGATGGTACCACTGGAATTCTCCTGCGCGGGGCTGAGGCGCTAGCCGGGGAGGAGGATAAGGCTACAGCGGGCGATGGGGTCCTGTTGTCAGTGGGTAATGGCCCTGACGATGTACCGGGCCGGCCTGGTGAGCACGTTGGACCAGGAGAGTCTCCTGCTTCTGCTGGGGATGCTGTTCCCCCAGCAGCAGGTGATGGAGGGGTTGCATTTGCGCGGGACGGGGTAGATGAGGCATTGGGAACCTGGCCAGCAGTGGTGATGGGGAAGGGAATGGTTTGGCTAGTGCTCAACCGACGCTGCTGGTGGCTGGGATTGCGGGCGGATGGTCTTGAAGAACCAGGTTCTCTCTGGACATTATGGCCCCCTGGGTCATCTGAGTATTCCCGGTCAGCGTCACCCGTGGTGACTGCATACAGACCACGTTTCCCCTCGCCAGAAACTACCTTCACCCCAAGACTCAGCCACGGTGCGGTGTGGTTTACCCACCTCTTGTAGTCTTTCCAGTTTGGGTGCTGTTTGATTTGCACGGAGGGTTCCTGCGGGTGAAGGGGGGGTTGGGGGGCGGGGGGTTCGGGATGAGGTAGATGGGGCGTGGCACTGTGTGTTGGGGGGGGGGGAGGGGGGGTTTTGGTGGATTTAGATGGTGTACTACCAGACTTCTAGCGCCCACATTGTCAATGCAAAGCAACAACAGTGGGGATTTGCAGGGGGTATGTGTGATTGGCGGGCTCACCACCCATTCGGGGTCGAAGAAGTCACTTTCCGGATTCCAATTCACCCCCGTGCGCACCCATGTCTTCATTTGCTTAATATCCTTGACCCACAGCTTCACCGTGTTGAGCCGGGTGCGTAGCTGATCCAAGGTGAATCCCAAATCTGGGTGCTCTATGTTCCACCGCAGTTGGATGTCGGGCCAGCATTGGACCTTCGCGGTCGGGTTCCGGCCAGTGTCCGTCATGGCGCTAATGACAATCTGCAGCAGGTCAGTTGTCAAGTCGTCATCCCATCTGGGTACGGTCCGGGTCCCTGTGGTGCTGGTTCTTCCGTGTGCATGACTTCCGGATGGTGTAGATTGGGCGCAAGAGGCCTGAGGTGCTTGTGAAGGGCCCTGCGATTCGGCGACAGTGACTGGTTCAACGGCCGCATGGGGAGTTGGCGGTTGGGGACGTGGAGACACCGGTCTCAGTTCGGTAGGATGACCAGGGACGTAACTCCATGCGTATGGGGAATGATTCTCCTGCGGCGTATTCATGTCATTCGTGGTAGGTGTCCCCGTTGAACCAACGTGTGCCGACATATCAAAGGGCGTGCGGACTCCTGGCTGATCGTGCCGTGTCGCCATACCGTCCACTTTTCTACGTCTAAGTGATGTTGAAATTGCAGGATGCAGTTATGTGGCAGTGACTCTGGTCACTTGGTGAAACGCCTATTTTGAGCATTGGCGCATGTCCCTATGACGCTATACGAGCTCCACGTATGGCGCACGCTAGCACCAGGTTCGGCATTTGCGCTAGGACGGAGGTAATGCGTTCCTTGATATCGCGTTTAATACGCCCTGCCTTGACCGTTTCGATTTTTCTTCTAACCCTAACGTATCTAGGTGAAGCTCCAGCTAGGTAGTATGCTGGCCCACGGTATCGCGATTAGCTGGATCCGTACGACCGCAGCCTTCTTTGGCGACTTTGAGGCGGCATTTTGGTCTAGGATGCTGCGGCAGTTGTCTCCATGGCGCGGAGGTATGGCTTACATGTGGAGGTTGGAGTTGTCGAGTAGAATGGGAGCTGTATCGACCCGTAACCGTCGGTTGGTTTTTCATGCCCTTAATTTGGGCAGCTTAACTTGGGGAAACCGTCCGTTTAGACTATCCCCAAATAGCCCCTCCGTGAGGAATGGTTGTGACTTCTCCTGAAAGTAGAAATGGCATTGGTGTCTAGCGGGGGGCTCGTTTTGCCCCGTGGGAGGTCTCTGGTCGAGGTAATGATTACGCCGGCTGTCACTTTAGTGTGCGCTTTGGGGCTGTTGATGGTTGTTAGACTTCCCGCCTTGTTTTGGCGTGTGGGCGGGAAACCGTAGCCATCGCAAGGGTTTCGTTCGCGCGGGCGGGAAATGTGAACCATCGCAAAGCGTCGTATCTAGTTTCCCGCCAGATTCTCTCCACCATTGTCAAATATTCCAAACGCAAACCACCCTGCTATCGAACAGGACCTATACTGGGGGAGCCCTAATAAAAGCTTGGAGATTCGGGACCTGAGGCCTGGGTCACAGTAACTGCATTGGTATATACAGAAAGGGGGATGTTTCCTAAAGAGTAGGACCGTTGATAATAAAAGTACATGCTTCCGCCACATTATTCAGTGGTTCCGATTTCAGGTTAAAGCCAGCAGCTAAAATAGTGACCCCCCCCCTTCTAGTTGGGTCCACTTGAATTCTTTACGGAAGTTTGGATGGTGTTATGTTTTTTTTTTTTTTGTCAAACACGTTTGATACTCGTGTGAGTCTTCGCATATTCTATCCAACAAAAGGCGTCGCAAGCATGTGCACTGCAAATGTGTCGCAAGTTTGCGACACGCAAGTCTCATTCACATGCAGTGCCAATTTCACAGATGTGGAATTCACGCACAGCAAAACGCCTTAGGGCGTGTTACATTTTTTTAAGTCGCTGATAATCCGGACGGCTGTTCGGACGCGTGCGAAGATTACGACGTCGTACGGTTGCTTTGCGACCAAAGCGAAGTCGTAAGGGGGCAATACGAAGAAAACGACGTTGTTTAGACCCTAACGAGCTCACTGCCGAGAATTGACGAGTTCTGTAACCACACAATCGTCCGGACGATTGGCCATCCGAACGAAAAAAAAAAAAAAAAAAAAAAAAAAAAAAAAACTGTAACACGCCCTTAGCCAAAAACCTGTATGGCGGCAAAAACAGCATCGAGGAACAAAAAGAACGAAAAAACCAGAGAGTTAGCAGGATGACCAGAGAAGAACGCGACACGGCGACGAAAACGGGGCGCGAGGAGAGCTATAAGTGTGCACAAATCGCAACGGGGCGTGAGGAGAGATATAAGGGTACATTCCGCTGTAGACACATGTCCCAATCGATGTGTCCCAATCGAGTGTACCGCTCCGAACCGAACTAAACCAGAGACGCAAAAATTTCGAAACTAGGGTGCAAATTGGTGTAATACGATGCAGTGCGGTAGAAACGATTGGGACACATCGATTGGGACGTGTCCACAGCGGAATGTACCCTGAGTGTGCAAAAATCGCGGAAAGAGGTTGGGTGATGGGAGGGCAGGGAAGAAAGGCACGAAGAGCACAACGACTGCATCTTGCGATGGCGACGGGAAGGGAGGGGAGAGCTAGATGGCGACGGGAAGGGAGGGGAGAGAGCGAGGGCAACGGGAAGGGAGGGGAGAGAGAGAGAGAGAGAGAGAGAGAGAGAGAGAGAGAGAGAGAGAGAGAGAGAGAGAGAGAGAGAGAGAGAGAGAGAGAGAGAGAGAGAGAGAGAGAGAGAGAGAGAGGGCGACGGGAAGGGAGAGGAGAGAGCGATGGCGACAAGAAGGGAGGGGAGAGAGAGAGGGCGTCGGGAAGGGAGAAGAGAGAGCGATGGCGATGGGAAGGGAGGGGAGAGAGCGAGGTCACCAGGAAGGGAGGGGAGAGAGAGAGGGCGACGAGAAGGGAGGGGAGAGAGAGAGGGCAACGGGAAGGGAGGGGAGAGAGAGAGGGCGACGGGAAGCGAGGGGAGAGAGCGAGGGCGACGGGAAGCGAGGGGAGAGAGCGAGGGCGATGGATGGATTAACTGCACGAAAAAAACAAAAGAAAAAGGCTAAAATGGGTCGCGGTAACGCGATAGCAGAGGGAGAACAAAGCGGCGACGAGAGGACAGAGGAGATATAGTTGCAAAACGAGGGAACGAGAGGGCGAGTGAGAGGGCGACGAAGTGGAGATGCAAAGGGAGACTCGAAGGGCGACGGGAGGCCGATTCGAGGAGAGGCAACGGCTCCGAAGTGGAGGGGGAGAGAGGAAGGACGGTCGGAAGGCCGATTCGAGGCGACTTACCGAAATCGCGACGGAAACAAGGTGGCTCGTGGGAGAAAGGAGGGGAAGGCTGATTCGCAGGCGAGTAGGGGGTGACGATTCTACTACCATAAGCTAATATATTACGCATGTGAGCTAAGTTGATAGTTACGACACGTGCATAGGCCAGTAAAAAATAGGCGTTCTCAGCTATGCTATGCTACTTCGTGACTGAAAATCAGGTACCGTCACCCCCCGGATATAAGCGCCACCCTGGGATAAGCGCCTGGCGCTTGTAATTGGCGTATGGCGCTTATATCCCCTCCTTGATTATAAGCGCATACCCAAATGGCTTACGGATTATAAGAGCCACCATTTGTATTAGTTTTTATAGAGTTAGTGGAATCTCTGTAGGGAAACACATTATTTGCATCATGACATTTTGAAATTTCGACCCTCACCCTCGCGCGACTTACTGCCTCACCCTCGCGCGACTCACTGACTGCGCGTCCAGTCAGAATGAGCTGTCATGGGGCGAAATGACTCATTATGATTGTGTGTGTTGGCAGCTTGCAAACTTACGCGAGATTCTTGTTCACAACCCTCTATGATATTGACTCGATTGAAATCACAATGACAAGATGAACACTTTGGAGTGAAAACTGTCAGAATGAGAACTACAGCCGAAATGAGTTGTGTTGACAGAATTGGGGTACATCACCTAACCCTAACTAGTTGTACCCCATATAGCCCAACCCACTACAGGCTATAATATTTGACACACCCCCATAGCCTAAGTGGGGAAGGCCAATCAACAACAAGCAACCTACGGTGACAAGACCAGTCAAAAAACAAGAGAAAGAAAACAAAGCTCAGGGTGGATCACAACGTCACCACCTAATCTGAGCACTAGCAAAGGGCCACAAGGCCAGTCGAAAAGTGTGCAAACAAATATATATATATAAGGTACAAGCAAGCAACAGACAAAGAGCACCCTACAGCAGTGAACTAGACCCAGTCTCAACGAGGCCTAACTGCAGACAAAACCGACGGTGGTCACAAGGCTGGAGGGCCTTGGTGAAGATGTCTGCAGTGTTGGCCTCGGAGGCCACAAAGTCCAGACGAGCCTGTCCGCGTCTCTGCAACTCTCGAAGGAGGAAGTACCTGACGTCGATGTGCTTCACTCGGCTCTCCAGTCGAGGCTCACGACACAGGAGAATCATCGCCCTGTTGTCAGCAAACAGGGTCGGTGCAGAGCTCGGCCGCTCACCAAGGTCAGTGAGCAAAAAGGTCAACCAGCGTAGCTCCTGAGCAGCAAGGGCCCCAGCGTAGATCTCGGCCTCTGCGGTAGAAGTCGCAACAGAGGAGGACCGAGTAGACCTCCACGAAACAGCTCCAGAACCCAGGCTGAAACAGTAACCCTGCGTAGACCTCTGAGTCTCAACGTCGTCAGCGTAGGAAGAGTCACAGTGACCGGTGAGTACAACTGGCTGTGTCCCTCCAAGTACAATCCCCATGCCTGATGTCGCGCCAAGGTACTTCGCCACCCTCTTAGCCGCCGCCCAGTGAACAGGACGGTGTCTCCCAGTCGCAACAAAGCGAGACAGGATGCTAAGGGGGAAGGCGAGGTCCGGGCGAGTGCACGTCATCAGGTACATGAGGCAGCCCACCAGCTCTGCGTAGGGACCACTGGGCTCGAACGGCTCGTCAGGAAAAGGCCCAGTGAGTCTGTGGTCTACAGCAAGAGGAGTGGGGGCAGGAGAAGAGTTCGGAAGCCCGAACCGCTAAAGAACCTGCTGCACCATGTGTGACTGAGTGAGAGTGATGGTGCGAGCGGCTCTGTCCCTGGAGATCTGCAGGCCAAGGTAGCGGCGCAGTTCCCCAAGGTCAGTGCAGGTGTGTCTCTTCTGCAGTTCGGACCTCACCTCCGCCAGTGCAGCTGTGTCGGCCGTGGCAAAAACCAAGTCGTCAACGTAGACTAGGACGAAGAAAGGTGTACGGCCACGACGAACAAACAGCGACGGGTCGGCGGAAGACGACTCAAACCCGAGGTCGGAGAGAGTAGAGCGGAGAGTGTCGTGCCACTCACGGGGTGCCTGGCGGAGACCGTAGACCGGTCGTCTGAGGCTCCACTGGCTCCCAGGCGGGAAAGTGCCAGTGAAGCCCGGAGGACGACGCAGCCAGATCTCCTCGTGTAAGCAGCCCTGGAGGAAGGCAGTGGAGAAGTCAAGAGAGTGTAGCTCGTAGTCTCTCTGCGTTGCTACGTGCAGTAACACCCGAAGAGTGGTCATCTTCGGGGTGGGCGCGAAGGTCTGAAAGAAGTCAACCCCCTCGCGCTGACTAAACCCTCTAGCCACGTAGCGTGCCTTGAAGACTGGGGGAGATCCCGGCGGCCGCTTCACCTTGAAGATCCACATGCCGTCAACAATGTTCGCCCCTTTGGGGGGAACCTCGTCAACGTAAGTGACTGTGGACCTGTAGGAGGCCATCTCTGCGTCCATGGCAGCTCTCCACTGAGAGGCCCAAGGCCCTGACACTGCCTCAGCGTAAGTGCGAGGAGTAGGTATGTCAGGAGCGTCGGGGTCTCCCTCAGGAGTGAGCAGCATGGCACAGAGATGAGGCGAAGCAGCTGCCAGGAACTCTAGCTCAAACTGTCTGTCCTCTAGGACGTCACAACCAAGGGCACACACACCCCTGGCGGACAGAGGACGGACAGGAGGAGCTGCCACAACTCGAGTGGCGTAGTCAAGGAGACGCGTAGCAGTAAAGTCAGTGACACCGGCAGTGAGGACCGCGACGGAGGAAGGAGAGGCACGAGGGTCTGTAACAAGAGAGGCGAGAACACGAGAGAGAGTGGGGCGGTACGTGCGGTAGTAGTCAGTGACCGGAGTGGACAGGGAGGCAGTGAGGGAAGACTCAGGAGGACGAGGAAGGACAGACGGAGGAGAACGAGGAGGACGAGGACGAAACAACACAGTACGGAGGTCAGTGACAGGGGACGAGGGACGAGTACGAGGAGGGCGAGAGGCCCAAGTGTGGGCGAGAGGAGGGGGGGACGGAGGAGACTGAGAACGAGGGAAGACAGCCGGAGTGGAGTCCGGAGGAGGAAACGTGGGAGCGAACACAGGAGGAGAGGAGGGGAGACCAAGGGCCCGAAGGCCAGAAACAGGGGCCGGAGGCTGCTCCGGCAGCTGCGGCGGCTGCTGCTGCTGCTGCTGCTGCTGCTGCTGCTGCTGCTGCTGCTGCTGTGGCTGTGGCTGCGGCTGCTGCTGCTGCTGCTGCTGCTGCTGAAACTCCAACCGCTCACGCTCCACCCGCTGCTGAACCTCCGACCTCTCACGCTCCAAACGCTACTGCTCGTCACGCTCTAGACGACGAAGGGCCTGGTAACGAGTCGGGTAGGGGTGAGGAGGAGGAGTGGTGTCAGGAGACGACGAAGAAGAACCGGCTCCACCCTCGACAGGACCCGGCTGAGCACCCCCAGAGCGAGGACCCCCTGCGGCAGCACGACCAATACCTGTAGGAGGTGTACCCGCACCCCCAATCGTGGCGCCGCCAGTGGCACCAGCACCAGCCCCAGACTCTCCAGCTCCAGAAACACCACCAGCTCCAGCACCACCACCGACTCCAACACGCTCGGGACGTGCAGCTGCGGCAGGTGCACGCTCAGCTCCAACTCCAACACCCCCAGAACCAGCACCGCCAGAGCCCTCACCTCGAGCACCAACACCCTCAGAGTCCGCAGTGGTCGGGAGAGGAAGCGCCGACGGCTGCTGCGGAGGCTGTTAGGACGACTGTGGGGAAGGAGGAGAGACCTGGGGGGGGACCAAGGGAGGGGGGGTAGCCTGCGACACACCTGACGGAGCGGGAATCGGGGGGGGTATCGGAGGAGAGGGAGCGGGAGGAGGAGGAGCTGGGGCGAGGAAGAGGGGAGGGGGGGGAACCGGGAGACCTCGACAGGGGTACCGGACGAAGTAGGGGACGGACTCGTCGAAACTGACGTCACGAGAGTCAAAGAACCGGTGGGAGGGAGGGTGGTAAAAGGTGAAGTCAGAGGAGGCCTCAGGGAAACCAAGGAAGACACAGGGGACGCCGCGAGGTGAGAGCTTGTCCGCAGAGGTGTCGCGGACAAGCGCCAAGCAGCCCCAGACACTAAACCTCGACGCAACACCAGGGGACCCTGTCCAAAGACTGGTCAGTGAAGCCCCTGGCCGAGAGACGCGAGGCCAGAGGTTCAGCTGGTGAGCAGCGTACCGAGCCGCGTAGGGCCACAGAAAATGGGGCGCGCGGGCGTGGATCATGGAGGTGCGGGCAATCTCCATGACCAGGCCTAGCCGGCGCTCAGCAACCCCATTCTGCTGTGGAGAGTCTGGAAGAGTCCAGGACTGGGTGATGCCCTGCTCAGCACAGAATCTGGCGAGAATGCCGGAGCGAAACTCACCCCCACGGTCGGAGTGGAGACAACTGACACGACGACGACGAGTACTCTCGGTGGCGAGCAGCCACCGGATCAGCGTAGAAGTCACGTCGGACTTCTTCGCCAAAGGGAACACGGTGGTGTACCGAGAGTAGTCGTCAACGACCACTAGGAAGAAGCTCTCTCGCTCAGGTCCAAGCCGTGGAGCGGGGCCCCAGACGTCTAAGTGGAGTGTCTCAAAGGGCTCGGAGGCTGGACGAAGGGAGGAGGAGTGAGGAGTGGCGCGCAGCCGACCCTGGACACAAGGACCGCACGGAGGAGCGGGGGACGGCGGGAGCGGCGGGAGGTCGCGGGGGAGGCCTAAGACAAGACGCTGACTGGACATAGCGCGGAGACGAGAGAGGGACGGGTGACCAAGGCGGTGGTGCCAGAGGAGGGCAGGGTGGGACAGCGACCGACACGAGCACGACGCAGCCACTAGACCTGGCACAGCTACCTGACTGGACCTGGCTACCTTGTGGGACGGGGGAACCGGACGGGTGTCGGTGTGGAGGGTGTACAGACCAGAGCCCGGCTCCTGACGAAAAGTGGCCAGAGGGGCGTACGTGTCACCGTCCACACAGCCTGCAGTGTCACCCGAAGGCTCAAACCAGACCCCGACGTGCTGTCTCGCCAGAGGAGCCACACCAACCAGGTTCCTAGAGAAAGTAGGAACGTGGAGGCCGGTCAGAGAACCGGAAGGGGCAGCTGGGCACGGGAGGGTAGTGGCGTGAGTCGCAATGACCGGTCCCGAAGAGGGATCGGCCAGTGCTACAGAAACCGGCGCCGAGAGTGGAGTAAGAGTCGTGCTGTCGCGGAAGAAGCACTGCGTCGCTCCGGAGTCCAGTGTGAAGGAGAGCGACGCGTCCGCCGAGGGAGCACCTGTACTAGTAGCTAGACAGGATCCTACACCAGCACCTACTCTAGCAACAGGCAAAGATCCTACGCTAGGTACAGGCAAGTAAACAGATCCGACAGCACTATAGTCAACATCAGCATACATGGCATAAGACCTAGCATCATCCATAGACATATCAAACACAGCAACACCACGAGCAAGGAGTGGTCCCCAGCGCGGTGGCGGGGGAGCGGAGGGACCGTGGTGCAAGATGTACAGGTCGTCAAGACGGCTGAAGCAGCGTGCAGCAGAGTGGTCAGGGCGGCTGCAGTACGTGCCCCTGCGCGGACCCGTCAGGATCCAGTACTCACAGGGACCAACGTCGCGGCCGGCCGAGCGGGGTCCCCGACTAGAAGGGGCACCACTGCGCCCAGTGCTCGGGGGGCCCGTAGGTCTCCACTGCTGCGGGGGGGCCCACTGCTGCGAAGGGCCCCACTGCTGCTGAGTGCCCCACTGCTGGGGCTGCTGCTGAGGCGGACGCTGCTGTTGGCCCTGGCGCTGCTGCTGCTGTCCCTGCCGCTGCTGCTGTCCAGGCGGTGGCAGCTGCGGAGGAGTCTGCTGCTGCTGCTGCGAAAACCCCTCACCACCGTCTAGAGGAGAGCCGTCAGGTCCCGAGTCACCCCCGCCGCCACCCCCGCCACTAGTACTACCGCCACCGCCGCCACCCGCAACACCCCCAGAACCCGCGCCGCCCTTCCCTCCCTTCTTGCCGGACTTGCCACGTTTCTGTCCGCCAGAGACAGAAACGGCCGCCGTCTCCTCAGAGGCAGAAGACGCGGCAGTGGCAAGCGAGGCAGTGAAGGTGGGAAGCTGTGGTACCGCACACCCCTCAAAGAGACGAGGAGGAGGCGCGGAAGAGGCGGAGGCAACAGCGAGGAGGTTACTCTCGATCTTCGAGAGAGCGGTCTCAAGAAGATCGATAGTAAGCTCAGTGGGGTGCTTCAGGAGAAGCGCGTCGCGGGCTGTGGCTAGACGGTCAGGGAGGCGAGTGACTAACCAGTGAATAGTGAGCCACATGGGGGGGGGTGCAAGGGCAAGCTGTTCCTCAGTGCAAGCGGCCTTGAAGCGAGCTTCAAGGGAGCGCAGGTGGGTAGCGAGGTCAGCGACAGTCTCAAAGGAGGCGAGGTCAGGGTAGATAAAGGGGACGAGGAGGCGGCTGAGGGAGGCAGAGGAGGGAGTGGAGTAGCGAGCAACAATAGCAGTGTAAGGGTCTGCAGCAGACTCGACCTGAGTGAAGTGGACAGCCTCAGTCGGCGGGAGAAGGTCGGTCAGGGCGAGGCAGGCAGCAGCGTCACGAGACTCCCACACGTCACGAGCGAGGAACCGGCGCTGGTACTCAGCCTCCTGCTCGGAAGTAGGCGGTGGGGTAGTGGGCAGCGGTGAAGGCTGCGGCGGGGCGGGCAGAGCACCGGACGCATGCGCAAACAGGTGCACGCCATCCTGGCGCTGGCTCCTAAGGTGGCGCTGGGCCTGCGTCAGCCAGGTACTAAAGTCGATCGCACGCCCCTCAGGGTCAAAACGGAGCACGCGAGACGTCGTCATGAGGGGCGAGGACAAGTGATAGCGGCCGCCAGCCGCGAGAGGAGGAGGAGAGGGAGGTGAGTGCGAGGCGGGTGCGCGCAGGCGGGGCGCGCACTGGCTGGGCGCGGGGCGGCGGGGCGCGCGCTGGCGGGGCGCGCTCCGGCGCGGCGCGCTGGCTGGCGTGGCGCGCGGGCGCGGCGCACTGGCGGGCGGCTAAGCAGGGCGCGCGCTGGCGGGCGCGGCGCGCTGGCGTGCGCGCTGGCGGGGCCCGCTGGCGTGGCGCGCTGGCGGGCGCGCTAGCGGGCGCGCTGGCGTGCGTGCTGGCGGGCGCGCTGGCGAGCTCGCTGGCGGGCGCACTGGCAGGCGAGCCGGCGGGCTCGCTGGTGCGCCCGCTGGCGGGCGCGCTGGCGGGCTGGCGTGCAAGCGGGCTGGCGCGCAGGCTGGCTGGCGCGCTGGTGCGCTGGCTGGCTGGCGCGCTGGCTGGCTGGCGCGCTGGCTGGCTGGCGCGCTGGCGGGCTGGCGCGCTGGCTGGCTGGCGCGCTGCCGGGCTGGCGCGTTGGCTGGCTGGCGTGCAGGCTGCTGGCGCGCTGGCTGCTGGCGCGCTGGCTGGCTGGCGGGCGCGCTGGCTAAGGGCGGGGAGGGGAGGGGCGCGCCGGCTGGGGCGTGGGGTAGGGCGCTGGTGGGCTGGCAGGGCGCAGTGGTAACCCTAGTGGTAGGGAAGGGCGGGCCTAGGACTAGGAGCGCTAACCTACTGCTGATACCATGTCAGAATGAGAACTACAGCGGAAATGAGTTGTGTTGACAGAATTGGGGTACATCACCTAACCCTAACTAGTTGTACCCCATATAGCCCAACCCACTACAGGCTATAATATTTGACAAAAACAACTAGATTTCATATATGTTATTATACAAGCCCCGGCGCTTATAAAAATCCTCGATTATAAGCCCAACCCCCTACAAAAACATGTTTTATTATATCCCCCCATGGGGGCTTACCGTATCCGGGGGGTGACGGTAGTTGTGAACCCAGTTCCAACTTGAAGTGGAAGTTCGCCCAGCGATGGAAACCATCGCTGGACAACGGTCGTGTGGGTGCAGCATGTAGAAATGCGACGGCGTGCCGTGTGCCCCAAAAATCGTTTTGGCGGGATCCAGAAAATTTCACGGAGGCGTGAGCCAATCAAATGAGTTCCCTCTTCCTACTCCTTTTGTTTCGAACAGTGTTGTTTCCGCCGAACTCATCGCAGCGATTTCAAGCTGGGACGGCCTTCACAATTTTATATTTCGGTTTTAACAAATAAGCATCAACTGCAGGCAACTATTACTTGAAATGGCCCATACATTGGCAAAACCCCTAAGGAGCAGTTGTGTCCGAGGAACTCTCATTCGTGGATGAAAAAGTGGAGGGAGCAGAAGCAGCAGGGCTTGGAGCATGTGGTCTGACTAGTGTCTTCCCCCTGAGCGCTGCCTGGTACCTGTCGTTGATGTCCCTGCCCTCCTTAATTTCTTGCAGCATGTCCTGCACTCGCTGCTTGTTGGCTGATGCTAGTATCTGTGCACAGAGGCAAGGGGACAAAGGGACAGAAAAAAAAAGAGAGGGAGAGAATGCCTGTGTGTGTGTGTGTGTGTGTGTGTGTGTGTGTGTGTGTGTGTGTGTGTGTGTGTGTGTGTGTGTGTGTGTGTGTGTGTGTGTGTGTGTGTGTGTGTGTGTGTGTGTGTGTGTGTGTGTGTGTGTGTGTGTGTGTGTGTGTGTGTGTGTGTGTGTGTGTGTGTGTGTGTGTGTGTGTGTGTGTGTGTGTGTGTGTGTGTGTGTGTGTGTGTGTGTGTGTGTGTGTGTGTGTGTGTGTGTGTGTGTGTGTGTGTGTGTGTGTGTGTGTGTGTGTGTGTGTGTGTGTGTGTGTGTGTGTGTGTGTGTGTGTGTGTGTGTGTGTGTGTGTGTGTGTGTGTGTGTGTGTGTGTGTGTGTGTGTGTGTGTGTGTGTGTGTGTGTGTGTGTGTGTGTGTGTGTGTGTGTGTGTGTGTGTGTGTGTGTGTGTGTGTGTGTGTGTGTGTGTGTGTGTGTGTGTGTGTGTGTGTGTGTGTGTGTGTGTGTGTGTGTGTGTGTGTGTGTGTGTGTGTGTGTGTGTGTGTGTGTGTGTGTGTGTGTGTGTGTGTGTGTGTGTGTGTGTGTGTGTGTGTGTGTGTGTGTGTGTGTGTGTGTGTGTGTGTGTGTGTGTGTGTGTGTGTGTGTGTGTGTGTGTGTGTGTGTGTGTGTGTGTGTGTGTGTGTGTGTGTGTGTGTGTGTGTGTGTGTGTGTGTGTGTGTGTGTGTGTGTGTGTGTGTGTGTGTGTGTGTGTGTGTGTGTGTGTGTGTGTGTGTGTGTGTGTGTGTGTGTGTGTGTGTGTGTGTGTGTGTGTGTGTGTGTGTGTGTGTGTGTGTGTGTGTGTGTGTGTGTGTGTGTGTGTGTGTGTGTGTGTGTGTGTGTGTGTGTGTGTGTGTGTGTGTGTGTGTGTGTGTGTGTGTGTGTGTGTGTGTGTGTGTGTGTGTGTGTGTGTGTGTGTGTGTGTGTGTGTGTGTGTGTGTGTGTGTGTGTGTGTGTGTGTGTGTGTGTGTGTGTGTGTGTGTGTGTGTGTGTGTGTGTGTGTGTGTGTGTGTGTGTGTGTGTGTGTGTGGTGTGTGTGTGTGTGTGTGTGTGTGTGTGTGTGTGTGTGTGTGTGTGTGTGTGTGTGTGTGTGTGTGTGTGTGTGTGTGTGTGTGTGTGTGTGTGTGTGTGTGTGTGTGTGTGTGTGTGTGTGTGTGTGTGTGTGTGTGTGTGTGTGTGTGTGTGTGTGTGTGTGTGTGTGTGTGTGTGTGTGTGTGTGTGTGTGTGTGTGTGTGTGTGTGTGTGTGTGTGTGTGTGTGTGTGTGTGTGTGTGTGTGTGTGTGTGTGTGTGTGTGTGTGTGAGTAGGTGTGTGTGTGGGGGGGGGGTGAGTGAGTGTGTGTGTGTGTGTGTGTGTGTGAGAGAGGGAGAGAGAGAGAGAGAGAGAGAGAGAGAGAGAGAGAGAGGAGAGAGAGAGAGAGAGAGAGAGAGATTTACAGAGCACTGCCGGCCTCACCAAATCCCCCCCTGCCTCAGGAAGGCAGGTGAGCAAATGAGAGGGAAGGCAGGCTGGTCTGCCTCCAAAAGATGCAGGTTAATCATAAGCAGCGTCCAGGAGCGACAGCGCGAAACGGAGCTAAAAGACTGGAACGAGACGCCACGTGGACACCATCGTGGCATCACGCACCAAAATTCGCCTTCATCCCGACTCAACAGGGCAATTATGGTATAAAAAATAATAAGTAGCACAACTCCTCCCGTTCACTTTGTCAGCATCGCACCAGAGCGTCGGTTCGGCGAGCGGCGAGCAGCTCGCGGTCCTTCTTGCCTCGCTCCGAATCGTCGCTGGGGTTAGTTAATGCCTGCACGCCCTTGGCAGCGGCGAAGGCGGACGCCAGGCAGATGGCAGCGAAGCCAGCGAAGAAGAGAGGACTCGACTTAGATCGCCTCACGATCCAGCGGTAAGTAGCGCTTGTCGCGTAAAGAAAAGACATCATGCACTACATCGACGGAGGCGACTGCCCATCAACAAGCCAGGAAGACGCTGACACGTACTTTGGTGATAACTAGTGCTTCTAGTATCCACTACGAAAGCACGGCAACTTGTAGTAACTCACTTTGATGAAAATTGATTCGTGTTACAATGGCAGATGAAATTGATTCGTTATGGAAAACCTGCTCCGCCCAGCGTAGTATGAGGGTGTGGTTCCTATGGATTAATATAAATGACTATCGTGGTAGCATTTAGATGGACGGACACAAGCAGAAAAGCTTTATCGAGTATGAAAAAGAACGCAGTAAAGCCACATTCAACAGCCAATATGTACAATCTATGCTAGAAGTAAACTCTTGCTATCTTTTTACAGTTTATGGCTAAGACTAGTAAATTTACCCAATTTCAATCACATTCATTTAAGTTGCATTTATATTAGTATCTGTTACGAGTGCAATTGAGTGAACGAACGAGAATTGCACTATCGAAGCAAGAATACAAATGAGCGAAGGCATGAGCGAACATTATATAGCGAAACTACAGTGGTAACGGTAATGGTCGCGCGACGAGCCTGGGACTGAGGTTGGGAAAGTGTCGAAGCGTAGGTCCGGAGCGCGGGTTACCAGCCGAGCCGTGAGGTCGGGATGCGATGTGCGAAAAGGGCAGGATGATGAATGGTGCGATGGTCGCGAGTGGTAACGGTGCTGACTGAGGTGCTACAGTGATGTACGCGTTGAGCAGGGACGCGAAGTAAGGAAAAGGGAATTTCCTTACACTACCCCCCCTCCTAAGGAGGTCCTCCTTATGAAAGCGCGTGGATGTCTCGGAAATTGCGGCTACGCAGGTAGTCGGTGACGACGGGGTGATTTTCAACTTTCTCCAGGGGAACCCAATTGTCCTCGGTGGGGGTACGATCTTTCCAGCGGATCAGGAACTCCACTTTTCGGGCTCCTCGAGGGTCGCGAACTCTGTGGCTCAGGATCTTGTCGGGGGTGATTACTGGTTCGGTTGGTGGTCGTGTCATGCTGGTGGGTCGATGTCGTGGGAGTTGGCTGGTGGATGGCACGTAAGGGCGAAGTAAGCTGACGTGGAACGAGGGGCTGACGTACCAGTCAGCAGGGAGGAGGAGGAGGTGCGCGGTGACTGGCGTAACCATGTGACTGATTCGAAATGGCCCACAGTATCGAGGGCGGAGTTTTGGAGTGATGGGCAGGCGGAGGTTCTGAGTGTCGAGTAAAACGAGGTCGTCGGGCTGATAAGTAACGGGTCTGCGATGGCGATCGGCGTTGCGTTTAGCGATGATGTTTGATTTTTTGATTGCTTCTGCTGCCTTGGTCCGTGCTGCTTGCAGAATCTCGGTGAACTGTTGTGCTCGTGGGACGGGGTTGTCGGGATTCGGTGTCATGGGTACTGTTGGGTCCTGTCCGTAATTCAAGTAAAACGGCGACTGTTGCGTCGTGGCTGATGGTGCGTTATTGTATGCGAACTCGATGAGTGGCAGCTGCTGTTCCCACGTATTCGGATCGTCGCACGTGGCTCGAATCAGCTGTTCCATGGTCTGATTTGTCCGTTCCGTCTGTCCGTCGGTTTCGGGGTGATAGGATGAACTGAACTGTAAGCGCGTGCCGAACTGCTGCCACAGGTTCCTCCAGAAGTTGCTTGTAAATTTCGTGTCCCTGTCGCTGATGATCGATACGGGTATCCCGTGCAGTCAAACGACGGTGGTGATGAAGAGTCGGGCGGTTTCCTCGGCTGTGATTGATTTCCTGCATGCTGCGAAATGAGCCATCTTCGTTAGTCGATCAACGACGACCAGGATCGCGTCATTCCCACTCGCCCCAGCTGGTAACCCTGTGACGAAATCCATCGTCACCTGCTGCCAAGCACGCTCTGGGGGCGGGATGGGTTGTAATTGTCCCGCCGGCCGCTTCCTGCTTGACTTCATGAGCTGGCAAGTGGGACACGATGCCACGTGTCGTTGCTGTGTAAATGAGTAAGCAGGAATGGGGTGAACTATGAATGAAAGCAGTACAAATATGAAACCCTAACTGGGTTGTACCCCCTATGGGATACCCCACTACAGCCTACACAGCAGTATAAGCTATAGATATGTTCTGACACACCCCCATAGGCAAAGTGGGGGAGAACAAGGGGTCACAAGACCAGTCAAGCAAGACAAAGCAAAGCTCAGGGTGGATCACAAAGTCACCACACAGTCCGAGCACAAGGGCAAGGCCAAAGGCCAGTTCACAAGCAAGAGTACAGACATATATATATAAAACTAGACAAGCAAGAGCAGGTATATATATATGTCACAGTACAAGTAAAGTCAAGAGGAGAGCAAGTGAGGCAAGACAGGCACAAGACCCAGCTGGGTGCAGAAGCGCTGATGGTCACAAGGCGCAAGTGCCTTGGTGAACACATCAGCAGTGTTGGCCTCAGAGGCCACGTACGCAAGTCGCAACTGACCACGCTGCTGCAACTCACGAGCAAGGAAGTAGCGGAGAGCAATGTGCTTCGTTCTGTGCTCCAAGCGCTGCTCTCGACACAAGGCCAGCATAGCCTTGTTGTCTACGTACAGCACTGGAGGAGAACGAGGCGGCTCTCCAAGGTCAGTCAGCAGGTAGGTGAGCCAGCGAAGCTCCTGTGCAGCCATGGCTCCGGCGTAGATCTCAGCCTCACAATTGGAGCCGAGAACCGAAGACGAGCGAGTAGACCGCCACGAGACAGAGCCGGAACCAAGGCTGAAGGTGTAACCCTGTGACGACCGCTGCGTAGCCTGGTCGTCAGCCCAAGAAGCGTCCGCGTGGCCGGTAAGGACCACTGGACTCCACCCTCCAAGCACTAGCCCCATGCCTGACGTACTGCACAGGTAGCGCAATACCCTCTTCGCTGCAGCCATGTGCTCCGGTCTGTGTCTCCCAGGAGCAACATAGCGTGCAAGAATGCTCAGAGGGTATGCAAGGTCAGGTCGTGTGCAGGTCATCAGGTACATGAGGCAGCCAACAAGCTCTGCATACGGACCACTCGACTCTACGGACTCATCCGAAGGCAGAGCTGAGAGTGAGTGGCGAGTAGGCAGAGGAGTGGCCTGAGGCGAGGAGTACGTGAAGCCGAAGCGCTGAAGGACCTGCTGCACCATGTGTGACTGAGTCAAGGTAATGGTGCGGCGTGCTCTGTCCCGAGTGATCTGCAAGCCAAGGTAGCTGCGCAGTTCACCCAGGTCTGTGCACGTGTGTCTCTTCAGCAGCTCGGACTTCACGTAGGCGAGTCCAGCAGTGTCCGCTGTGGCAAAGACCAAGTCGTCGACGTACACGAGGATGTAGAACGGCGGCAGGGAAGTGTCGGTGCGAAGAAACAGCGACGGGTCAGCAGTAGAAGGAGCAAACCCAAGAGCCGCAAGTGTAGTCCTCAGTGTGTCGTGCCACTCACGCGGTGCCTGGCGGAGACCGTAGACTGGCCGTCTGAGGCTCCACTGGGTGCCAGGAGGGAAAGTCCCAGTGAAGCCAGGTGGACGGCGAAGCCAGATCTCCTCGTGCAGGTTACCCTGCAAGAACGCAGTGCTGAAGTCGAGAGAGTGAAGCTCGTAGTCGCGCTGAGCGGCTATGTGCAGCAGCACCCGAAGAGTAGTCATCTTCGGGGTGGGAGAGAAGGTCTGAAAGTAGTCAACTCCCTGCCGCTGACTGAAGCCACGAGCAACGTACCGTGCCTTGAAGACAGGTGGAGAGCCCGGCGGCCGCTTCACCCTGAAGATCCACATGCCACTGACGATGTTCGCCCCAGGAGGGGGAACCGCGTCAACGTAGGTGCCTGTGGACTTCCAGGAAGCCATCTCTGCATCCATGGCTGCCTGCCACTGAGAGGAGTAGGGGCCCTCTACGGCCTCCGCGTAAGAACGCGGAGTCGGGATGTCTAGTGCATCCGGGTCTCCCTCAGGGGCAAGCAGTACAGACGCGAGATGAGGTGAAGCAGCCGCTAGACACTGTAACTCCTCCTGCCTGTCCTCTAGGACGTCCGTGCGAAGAGCACACTCACCCCCGACGGACGGAGGACAGACAGACGCAGACTCAGCAACAAGACTAGCAGCGTAGTCGAGACGACAGCGAGCAGCAAAGTCGACGAGCTCAGCGACTAGAGCAGACGCAGCAGTGGACTCAAAAGAGGGGTCAGTGACGACAGTAGCAAGCAGACGCGTGACAGTAGGACTCGCAGCGCGAAGAGAGTCCGACTCAGGGTCGGCAAGCGCAGGAAGAGAGGACTCAGGAGGAGAAGGCAAAGGGGCACGCAGAGGAGCAGTGGACGGACGCAGAGACATCCGGTGCGTGCCAGGGACAGGAGGAGGACGCTGACGCGAACTGCGACCACTAGCGCGAGCAGCATGAACAGGCGACGCGGGGCGAGACGCAGGCTCACGACGCTCAGCAAGACCTCCAGTAGGACCAGTGTAAGGAGAGGGAGCAGGCAGTGGAGAGGATGGCTCCAGTAGGGACTGCGACTGGACAGGCGGTGGACCCTCTACTGGAGGAGAAAGACCAAGAACCTGCTGAAGGAGCGGAACGAAGTACGGCCGAGGCCGCGCGGCAGCTCCAGTCTCAGCAGGGACAGCACCAGCACCCTCAGCGACAGCACCAGCGCCACCCACACCTCCAGCGGCAGGACCAACAGCAGCAGGCTCAGCACGAACGCCCTCAGCAGCTCCAGCTCCAGGAGGACCCGCAGGTCCAGCAGCTCCGGGACCGGCAGCACCCGCACCCTCGACGATCGAAGAAGCTCCAGCTCCAGCTCCAGCAGCACCTCCAGACTCAGCAGCACGCCTCCAGCGGCGAGCGAACCACTCGCGCAGCTCCTGTGGAGAGAGGGGCTCCCGGCGAGACGCAGCAGCAGGAGAAACCCCAGGCTCAGCAGCTCCAGACGCAGCACCCCCAGGCTCAGCAGCTCCCAGCTCAGCACCCCCAGGCTCAGCAGCTCCCGACCCAGCACCCCCAGACCCAGCACCTCCAG